TAATCAATTACATATTCTCCGGGGTAGTACCTGTTTATTTACCCAGGGATTCCTATAACTCAAGAGTCACGAGCACGTCGGCTGGTCGGAGAGGCCGCTGTGTCCCATAAATATTTCTCCGGTATTTAGCTCACTCGATGAAATGCTATAATAAATAGCCTAACACCAGTTTTTTACGAGGCCTCAGTATCAGCCAAGCCAAGCCGCTCTATATGCGGCGAAGCATCGACCATCTACGATTATTTTACCTATCACATTTTTATTAAATGCCCCAATTCTTGATAAAAGAGAAATTGGGCACAGCTAGTAATTTATAATCCTTCATTTACAGCGTAACAAAGTTTTGGTACCCTCAGAGAGCTAGCGCGCCCCAAATATGTCAGTTAATTATTCCTTACTAACAAGAATAATTGCCCTTTAAGTCGTACTTTCAATGGTTTTCTTGCCCTACATAACATTTGGAAAATGCCTTTCAGGTCACGCAATCGACAAGTGCGTCGCCCTTAGAAATTGTAGGGCTGCTTAACAATCAAATGAGTTAACACTTCGATGTAACGATAAGGATTAAAGTAATGCGGCATTTTCGATGTAATTTTGTTTAGAAACTAAAGTACATACTGGATATTTTGCAAGAAAACATTCATACAAGTATATATGTATATACTTGTATGAATTATATACTTTGTATATATATATATATATATATATATTTATATATGTGTGTGTGTACGCTTGTGCTACGTTAACAAGGAAATTATTAACTACTACTAATTACTATATAATTATGTTTACGGGCATTAACTCGCTCACGCAAGGTAAGAGTGGTAGTGGTAAGAGTTTAGTTTAGTTTGTTTATCACAAAAAAATAGATATTTATCATTCAAATTAATCAAAACAACCTTGATATAAAAAAAAAACTGTCCATATATTGCCATGGTTGCACACACATGCTGTACGATAAGCCACAATACCTGACCTGATGGTTAACCGGTAACCAACAGTTGCAATGTGTATTGAAAACCTACCTATAGTAGACCCAAAAAAGAGTACCTATTAATAAAGTTTGGGGGGGGGGGGGGGGTAAATAATAAAATTAATAAATAAAGTTAAATTCTAGGTAAATAAAGAGAGACAAGAGAATGAAAAACGGACTTCGTGATGGCCGGTGGAATTATCATTTTCTGGTCATTCATAGAGTCAACACTTACAAACTCCTTAGATGTTCTATCCTCTCCTCTCTTCCATAATAAATTAGTAGGTTTTTTTGATAACCAAATCTTTGATAATGAGTTATATTCATCGTCATCAACAGCCTTTATTAGTCTACTGCTGGATGTAGACCTCTCCTTAGAAATGAGGTTTTGGTCTACTATACCTACCACACTGATCAGACGGGTTGGTATAGGGTTTGTTTCAAGTTTTCCCTCTCTGTGCAGTACCGTTGTCTTACGTCGTTGGCTCTCTTAGTCAGATTTTACGAGACCCATGGGATGAATAGGAGTTTTGACACGCCGTATTCTTAATACATCACCACACGGGTATAATGAATTATATAACTATAACAAAAATTATATTACATTAAAAAATCTTTGTCAAGAAAAACACAGTTGTTAATACTTGTCATACCTGAATACGTTTTAACTCAGGGTTATACGTGGCATACGAGGAAAAATATTAGTATAATTAGTAATCGTTCCAAAATTAAATGAAAATCATCATATTTCCTTGGTATTTATACATACCTGATACAAGTTAGACAACTAATTTAGTTAATAAATCATTTCAAGGTGTGTAAATTTACAATACAATTTCAGATAATGTACAATTCTAAAGATATTTAAAACATAGTAACTGTTATATTATTAGTGCAACAAACTCCATTGGTTTACTACTTCGAAGCTAGACTTGCTGCGGTTGCACATGCCTGCAGCATCACAACTTGAAATTACATATATAGTGTAACTAGCGACCTGTCCCGCCTAGTAATACAGATTAGTAGATAGATTAGATTAGACTATACAGAACTTTTATACCTACTCATGTTCTGCAAAATAAATAGATACCCTACAGGCACGCTCCGCGCCTGACGACCGCTGGCACTGGCCTCTCTGCCCCCGTATTTTAAAATTCCTGATATCGTCTAAGATATTCATTTTGATGATATGCTGGAAAGGGCAATTTCGAGCTTCATTAAATGCACAACGTATCAAACTTATTTATTTTGAAAGGATTAACCCTGTATTGTTGAAAACACTTTCGTAAATTACTCATTTTTTAAACATATCAGTGGACTACAAAACACGGTTGCAATACAATTTAGGTACTAAATATTGCAATAAATATCTAAGAGTTAAATTGATTGTGCTTGCAACAATAAAAATACAAGAAATAAATTTATTATTAATCTCTTGAAATAAGCTGAAAATATTTAAGTTCTTATCAATATTACGTCATACGCTTTAGTATGTTAGGATAATTACTAAGTAAAATAATATTTGCGCAGGAATAATGATTCAAATAACCAAGAATTTAAAAAAACATATTCAAGTGACCGTGACTTTTTTGCCAGATTTCATCTCTCAAAACTCGACACAGATACAGTATTATTTTTATTCATTGTTGTTATAAAACATAAATAAAGAATATGAATATTATTGCGGATATGATTCAATGCAACATTGCAAATGAAGAATAATTATTTTTTAAGACTGTATTCTGTAAGAGTAAACTTAAGTGTTAATTTAAGTCTTTAAAAAACGAATCAAGTGGCATTTAAAAAAGTAAAAACGTAAACAAGTAATTTTCCCAACAATTTTGTGTTAAGTACTAAATTTTAGACAAAAATAGATAATTAGTTGGACGAATCTTAAGTTTCAAAATAACAGAGCTATCTTAGCCGTGACTTTTCATTCTAAATCCAACATATACAAATAATCTACCATTAAGAATTTGCCCAGATTTTTTAAGTTTCAAATTCAGTTTGCAGGACTACGAAACCTTAAAAATATATTATAGCCTATCTATTCAATACTGTTCCATATATATTTTTTTTGTATATTCATCAACAGCCTTTAATAGTCCACTGCTGGAAAGAGGCTTCTCCTTTTTTGTATACTGTAAATAGAGTGATAAACTTTCACATTTATGCTAGACTTCACTTTTATGGCCGGAGATGTGAGGTGTGGAGGTATGTAAATCCTCTAGTCTGAAGGTAAACGAGTGGTAACCACATTTACCTTGTTGTTATATCTCTTGATCCGGCCTTAGAAATATGGTTTTAATATACCTACTAATGTTTTTAATTATCATACTAATATGGTAGTAATTTGTTTGAGACTTGAAATCAAACTTCGAAAGCTGGGCTTGATGCCCAGTAAACTTAAACTACCTGAGTAAAACTGAGATTCAACTCAGACCTGAAACCGGTGACGTCACACATACATTACCTTCACTTCGTTTACTGACCTCACTTCCTTGCTACACGATCACCTGTACTTTTTTAGCCTCTTTCTGACAATTATCCCTTTCTTTCAGTTTATTACTTGATTCGAATCGTTATTATGGTTTGCCATAACATAGTAGTCACGCGCTTTTTAAGGTTAAAGTGTACAGTTATGGCTCAATTGAACATTAAAAAAACATAATATGCAATAGTAGCAAGTAGTCACTTTTTTGATGGTAATGAAGTCTTCAGAACTTTATTTAATGTTTCGTCGTAAGTTTTAACATTAAGTTTCTAGTTACTTATAAACTAATGTTTTTGCCCGCGGCTCCGCCCGCGTAAATGTCAGTCATCACGGTAAAAAGTTGTCTATGTCTTCCCTCAAGAATCAAAGTATCTCCATACTAAATTTAATCTAAATTCAGTTCAGCAGTTATTGATGCCCCATACAAACATCCACCCACCTTTTCACCCCCTTAAAGGATGATTTTTGGAATAAAAACTACCCTATGTCCTTTCCCAAATTTTATCTAAATCGGTTCAGCGGTTTAAGCGTGAAGGGGTAACAGATAGACAGACATCGACGCCCCCCGCGAATAATCCGGTAATCGTAAAAGTGTAAATGTTCAGGAAAAATAAAAAACCATTTTTCCTTAATAACTCTATTAAACAACAAGTTTCAGAGACTTTTTATATCGCATATGGAAGCTAATTTTTTCAGCTATCTGGTTATTTCAACAAAATTAAAGTAGTCCCTAGGGCTTCGTTATAATTTAGCTGGATGCATTTTACTATATTAGTGTAGGTCAAGCTCTGGTCAGTAATGTCACTTACGATATTGTTCGTGTAAATTTATATTTTCGACGGCAACAGTAAAATCTTGTTGCGATATTATTCGTGTAAATTTATATTTTCGACGGCAACGGTAATATCGTGTTGCGCTATTACTCGTGTAATTTGTTTTGTATACTGAACATTTGTGAAAAGTAATTATTAGGTAATTCGATTATTTAACAGTAACGTCATTTTATTGTTTTGACTTTACGTAGAAAACTATTTACCCGAATAATATCGTAAAGTAATTTTACTGTCAAATCAAATTGATATTTTTTTTCGTAAAGATCTAAAACCATATTATTCGTTTAAAATACATTTTAATGAATTTTTATGGAATATACGCGTAGTTTCTCATATCTTCGTAAATAAAGATAGAAAAATTCTGAAAAAAAATTACATGGTGTATTTTAACTTCTAGATGCCGAAAACCGCATAACATGAAAAACCCCGTAATAGGTCATTACCGGATTATTCGCGGGGGACGTCGACATACTTTCGCATTTATAATATTAGTATGGATTATAGAACTGTCGGACAGAAAAATGAGCGGGACTTCAGTTGTCACATTTGAGTTTTGACACTTTATTTTTTTTAAATGCGTTTTATTACAAGATGTTTTCCGATTACGTCCATTAATAAAAAAGGGCAAAAATGGTTTTCAATTTTGTTGCAGTACCTACCTATGCTTACAACACTTTTTTTAATTTCAGAAGCAAACACAATGTTGCCAAGGAAAAGGAGTATGTTATTTACGCTCACAATACTGGCGTGTGTGAAGTATTCTGAGGAGTACAGCTCCGGAGCTCCGTCTATTGTAAGTGAAATTTTAATATCTTTCTTTAGTCTACACAAGAATTTATGAAGTAAATACAATACATATTAGGCTATATTCTTGTAACACTGGCCGTTCTGAGTGTTTGAGGGTTTTACAGGGGAAAAGTATTTGTGTGATCTCTGTGCTATACACTAACAGATGACGTAGTAGTTTAAATGGTCACTGCGCTGAGTAATGTGGGCTCGATCCCCGCATGGGACAAAACTTTGTGTGATCCACTAATCGTTGTTCTGAATCTACGTGTTCTTTGTGTCTGTTTTCTAAATGTTTGTAAAGGAGATGTATTAAAAAAAACTACCACACAGTATTTTCGTACTTTCTAGGATCCTCCAGTATCCACCTAATCCATCAGAGTAATGAAATCTGTAGTGCGAAATTCTCTGCATATTACGGTAACGTTCTCGTCATACAAAAAAATGACGGCAATTTATGGATAAAACTGACGACAAATAACGCTGTTGTTTACCAACATGCTAATCAGGCAAGAATTAAAACGGGTTCTCATTTCGTACAAAATAATAACAAAGTCGTTTTTTTTTCAATTTAAATTTATCGATTTGTTTACGATTGCCAGAAACTACTAGTTTGTAATTCGCATTTTTTTTCAGATTAGCATAAGGCCACCCACAGTCACACACTTGTGTTTGTTTCCTGTTTTTATGAAATTACCAGTTGTTTTCCCGGAGTATTATTCTTATTCAGTTCAGAAACAGTTCTGGCCCTTGCTTGATGTAGGTCATCAATGGTAGCTACACGATTCTGGGTTCGATTCTCGCAGTAATGAACTATGCCTGCTACATAACATAGTCTTACCACAGAATTATATAGAGCCATAACATAAAATTGGGAATGTAACTATTAAGTATACTCCTCTATCTTCTTCCCCAACCACAAAAGGAGCAACTAAAAATATGGTTTTGTTTTCAGGCCTGCATAGATCAGACGCCACGCCATGAGACAATCCAGCCCCAATCTTCTACTCCACCATACTTAATCCAGACATCAGCAGCTCAAGTACGCCAAGGAGATATCTTGAACGTGACTGTAGGAAGCCCTTCAGGTGCACCTTTGCCCATCGGTGGGTTTATTATGCAGGCCAGGCAAATACAGGTAAGTTTCACATGCTATGTTTCCTAAATACTAATGCAAACTTGTTTGTACACTAAGGGCACCTTAACGGAATGAGTAAATTTGTGGGAGACCACAATATTACACACAACACAATACTGTTTAAGAGATTAAATAGTATCATTAGAAGCCCTAATGTTGTACTATCATTTTATGTGCATGGATATAGACGCAAATATCAATTACAATGTAAATTTTTTGGATAACAGTCCAGGCCTCTCTACACTATCCCATTTGGATGTTAAGTTTTGCAATTAATCCAGTGTAAATTGTCTAAATCTGTGACGCATTGAGTTAAACAGATATTCTTGTAAAGTCAAAAAGGAGCTTGACTACAATTCTGTCTCATTTTTTGAATTTTAGGTACCTAGATTTTTAATATTATAAACCAAGCATGTAGTTACTGTGTCATTCCTACAAGTAATATATACTAACATAGTACAGTAACTACATAAAGTCATCTCTTAACTTATCTCGATGAACAGGCTTTCTAAAAGGTGAAACAAGTTTTGAAGTAGGACTGTCTTAGGAGCTTAAACCGACACCTTTCGATTTTGGCCAATCTTTGGTCAGTATTTTTCAAGTTTTAGTAGAAATACATACATCGGATTTTAATTTAATCGGATTTTTATTCCTTGCTACGATAGCCGTTTATTCCTTTAAGAGTGGAAGATATTATCGAAAACGGTTACGAAAAGTAATATTATCTGAATATAGAGCGATGCTGATGTTTTGAAGGTAGAAAAGCTTTCAAGATTCTCAGTGGATAGTTCGAAAAAGCCATATTAAACAACAAGTAAAATTATTAAAATGATGAGATAATTACCAAGTACCCAAGCCATGATAGGATGGTACTAAGACCTAATTTATTTATTTCTAAGACAAAGAACTACCATGCTAAATGCGGCAACTTCTAATTGGCCTTCACCGTGTTATTATTTTCTTTATTTTTGTATTTTTATGAGTTTCCTTAAAAAACAATGCTGCTAATTCTTATAAATTTAAGGCTTTTTAGTACTAAGCAAGGTTTGTTCATAGCCAAACAAGTTGCTGTCTATACCTACTACTCTCATTCCAGAATCCAGATATAATAGTGGGCAAGTTCGTTGGACTCCCAGACTCTTCATTGGTGCACATGACGACATGTACGAGTCCAAATGATACAGTTACTCACTCCTCGCCAGAAGACAAACCCGCCATGACCTTCCAGTGGCTAGCCCCTGCCGATTTCCTTGGAGGAATTGAGTTCAGGTAAAACAATTCATGTCTTGTTTTAAATTGGTTAAAGTCAATCCTTTAATCGTCGATAAGGAGACTGTAGCCAATAGTGGAAGATTCTATTTGAGTTGAAAGTGTCTTGGAAGTTTGATTCTTGGATTGTTTTTGGTGGGTGAATTCAGTTCTCTTTTATCCGTTTCTTTTTATCTCGCCATTTTATATAAACCTAATAAGATTGAGGACGCATTGTTATTATAATAAAAGCATTTAAACTAAATATTTAGCAAATAACACAAAGCAATATTAAACAGTTTGAACACAGCTATTTATAGGAAAAATTCGTGCTGGTTACTGGTTTAATGCCACATCTTAATTTTGTATATTATCTTTCTTTGTTGATATTTTGTATAACTATATTGGAGGACTTAGACCGCTTGATAGTAAATGGTTATCAGTAAATAATGTATTAATTCATTAATTACCTGTATAATGGCCACATTACTTATAGTAAGAAAAAATGTATAGATTTCGTAGAGTACCCGTTTATTACACCTTATTGTGTAATGTGTAACAACAGAGGTTAATTATGTTAATCTTGGTCTACAGAGCAACAGTGGCACAAAGCTATGCTACCTTCTGGTTGAACGTGGAGTCACCACTAGTAGAAGTAGTCACCCCAGACACGATGATCAGTCCTCCACCACCCGCGGTGCCATCCAGAACCGCCACTACGGTAGCTCCACCCGTTATTTTGGAGAGTAAGGTATGAATGAACTATTTAAAGGGATGTTTCTAACTTTTGCAGGCACATTTCCCTGAAGGTTTTTTTGAATTCTATTTGATATACATTATTTGTACTTTTTTTGAGATTATTCTGTTCATAATAAACATCAGGGTATCACATAAAGTTGCGACTCGTTCGGAAAGTTAACTTTTTCTACCTGTAAATAAAAGAATTATTAAATATAGTAAGTAAACTAAAATTATTCATCATCATCAAAATCCTTTAGTAGACCACTGCTGGACATATGCCTCTCCTTAGAAAGGCGGTGTTGGCCTACTATACCACGGTAGCAAGACGGGCTGGTGCATTATTGCTCTCCATAATGTATACACAGGTCTTATAAATGTATAAAGAAACAATTATGGACTCTGTCGGGCACGGCAAAATTGGGAGAGAAAAGCAAACATTCTATCATTATATTAAAATGTAGTTTAGTAAATAGAACTAAGTAGGGATTTTTTTTTACTGCTTATGTATTAATTAAATTTAGTAAGTATTATATTATAGTAGAATTTACGTATAATAAAAATAATCCTAAACCATTTGCTTTAATTTCAGCCAAAAATGGAAGCCGCTGCCCTCGACATTATTTATCAAGGGTGTGCTGACACTAAATTGTGTTTCGGAGTTCCACAAAACTGTATCGCTAGAGGCGACTGCAAGGCTATTGTGGCAGTCTTTGTTGCTGGTGACAAATACACATTTGAACTTCAAGCACCAGGCAACCCTAAGTACGTAGCCACGGGTTTGAGCATGGACAACAAAATGGGAGATGACAGTGCTATGGAATGTGTCAGAAATGATAATGGAGGAGTAAACCTCTTTACTTCATGGACTTATCCGAAGATCGAACCGTATGTCAGCCGATCAGACTCTCCCCAGGACATAGTACAGCTCTTGGAGTCTTCGATCATTGATGGGAAACTGTACTGCAAGTTTAGTAGGAACACGGTGTCAATGGTGAAAGGACAGACCTTCGATTTGGCGAATAATATGTATAATTTGATGGTGGTAGCTGGCAGCTCAATGAAAGGTAGGTGGAAATCTATGACCATCTTATGAGTATGTTTTTAGACTACCCTCATCTCAAAATTTACTTATTGTACTTGTGTTTAAGCTATTTTAGCTTTTAAAAAAATATTCTTAAACACTATAGGTGAATATGAAAGTTACGTTACTGAAAATGTCGGCCGTAGCAACCTAAGCTGCAGTAAAATATCTAATTAAATTATATGGAGCACTACTACTTTACTACCTAACATTTATTATAGCGCTTGAGTTTTGCAAGCACCATACATTTCGCACGCGTCTCAGGTGTTCCGGGAAAAGTCACAGATATTTGATATTTTTAGAATGACGGGTAGTATTATTTTTGAAGAAAAAATACTGTCTCGATGACTTAAATGCACATCTCTAGAATTTTTTTTTATGAGCTTTGCTTCATTTAAATGTCAATTTTATAAATTAATTTGGCCGAGACAAGAACAAGAAAAGTAGCTTCTGTTCAATTCTAGACTGTAATCTGTTTAGCCGTTTCGGTGTGATACTGAACAAATATAATAATAATATAATATAATATATCTCACACACTCACACACGGCCGTCTGATCCCAAACTAGGCAGAGCCTGTACTATGGTAACCAGACTGCTGATAAACATACTTATATATTTCTAAATACATACATATTATAGATAAATTACACCCAGACACAGAACAAATGACCGTGCTCATCACACAATATTTGTCCTGAGGGGGAATCGAACCCACGACCTCCGGTTTAGCAGTCAGGGTCACTAACCACTAGACCAACAGGCCCGTCCGCCCGACCAAAGTTTCGCCCGTATAATAAACAGTAAGTGAATCCTCTGTTCCGTGACGTCAGATGCGAGCCGAGTGGGGTTCCACGACGTGGCGTACGAGGCGACGGGCGCGGCGCAGGCGCTGGCGGCGGTGGGCACCGCGGCGGGCGGCTCCAAGCTGCTGCTCAAGCTGCACGGCTGCTGCATGCTGCTCGCCTGGCTCGGCACCGCCTCGCTCGGCTTGCTGCTCGCCAGGTACGTCCGCTTCTTCATGCAGATAATGTCAAATGTATAGGGCACGGGTTTCGATTCGGCTCGAAGGACCATATATGACGATGTTAAACGAACTCTTTAATTGAGAGATCACAGAGACCTTCTGAGATTACAATATAATGCTTAACGACCAGGCCATATATATACGTCAATGTCATACTAAATTATTAAAATCAAGAAATTAATGATCTCAATTTTCATAAAATATTTTTGCCCAATTCTATTTCTACTTTATGCCTTTCATCAAATAATAATTTTCGTTTAAAATGTTACAGATACTTCAGGCAAACTTGGGTCGGCAAGCAACTAGGCGGAAAAGACATTTGGTTCGCTGTACGTATTTTCTCAGTTTAAAACACAGTTAATTTTAGTCTTAATATTTGAAATATCTGGGCTGGTGATATATAATATGGTCTGATGATATAGTGTTCCTGTCATCGGACGACCCGTATAATCACTTGAATACTAGGTAGTAGTCATCATCATCCTTTCCCAAACTATCTTGGGTCGGCTTTCAGGCTACTCCGAAACAGCCGAACTTCAACTTTTAGGTTGCCATCAGACCGATATTGAAGTTCTGTAGATCGACTGTTGGAGGACTTTTTAGGGCACATAACGATTGCCATAGATATTCGTATGGCAATCGAGACCGATGGTTTAAGACCTTGCTCTCCGAGGCACGGAGGGGTCTCAATGTCTTAAGAATGGTCACCCATCTATATACTGACCTGGCTAGAGTAGCTTAACCTTGCAATATTCTACCCTAAATCCTTACTACTTCAATCCTAACTAGTACAGTAAATCCTTTACGAATTAACTACCTATTCGAATTACCGCAAAATTTTGCATTCACGTGGACAAGATTAAAGTAAATATATAGGGAGACATTAAACCTCAAAAACAGGTACATACATCAACGCTGGTGAAGTTCCGATCAAAAGGTCATAGATATTAATGCATACTTTTCTATAAAAGCAGTCAATGCACGCGTAAGACTTCATCTTTTTAATATTTTATTTTTATTTTCAGTACCATCGTATATTCATGGTGTCGACATTGGTGTTGACAGTTATCGGCTTTATACTAATTCTCATTGAAGTCGGAGGATGGTCTACTACGGGGAGCAACCCACACGCCATCACCGGACTTGTCACTATCATACTATGCTTCTTACAACCCATTGGTAAGTGTTACGTATAGTTAAAATATAATAGACATTTTATTTATAACTCCTCTAATTTTCTTAATTAACTAATACTAAAAGATAAAAAATTAAACTCTCTTGGAACCCGCAACGAAAGTTCGTTGCGGGTTCCAAGAGAGTTTAATTGTTTATCCTGGGACTTCCCGAGTGTCAAAACTCGGTGTGTTCGTGGGTCACTGCTGATGATCCTGGTGTAGACGAGTTACAGTGGTGGACGTGTGGGAGGGATTAGAAAAAAACATATAGAGACACAGGGTAACTTTCATCCAGAATTTATATCTATATATATACTAGCTGACCTGGCAAACGTTGTTTTGCCATAAACATTATTTCAAAAAAAAAATTGACAAAAAAAAATAGGTGTATGAAAAATAGATGTTGGCCGATGCTTAGACCTACCCAATATGCACACAAAATTTCACGAAAATTGGTCGAGCCGTTTTGGTCCTCCCCAGAGCAGGGCTCCTTAGACCGGCTGTCAGGATGGTTTTTAGTGGAAACACCATATACTCCTGACTCCTATATCCTCGATGAGCCGGAGATCCAAAAGGAATTTTCCAGTCGGTGTGTATATTAAGTCCCCGCGACACAGGAATATCTTTCTAGTGGGGAATATGGGAGAAAAGGAGCAGACAGGTTAACTGATGATGATAAGAGATTACCGCCGTCCATATCATATTCCTACATTATCGAATCTGAGGGATCAAACACTAATGTAATGTTTGAATTTTTGCAGGTGCGTACTTCAGGCCACACCCAGGCACTGAGTACCGACCCATCTTCAACTGGCTCCACTGGGGAGCCGGGAATGCCGCTCATATACTTGGAAGTGAGTCGTAGAGATTATCATAGTACCTATAGTAGAAGATTTTTAGGGTTCCGTACCTCAAAAGGTAAAAAAGGAACCCTTATAAGATCACTTTGTTGTCCGTCTGTCCGTGTGTCACCACCGATTTTCTCAGGAACGGGTAGACTTAGCAAGTTGAAATTTATACTAGATATTGAGGTATTAGGTGTATAAAAATCAAGGTTGTGAGTCAACACGATAAAAAGATAAAGGCAAATTTAGATTTTCGCGAAAACATAAGTACCAAAATTTACCTTAATTTACAACTTTTTTATTTTTCAGATTATTCTCTTTACTTGTGCTGTAAGACCTTGCTTTTAACCAAAATTGTCAATTATAGGTCAACCGGAAGTACCCTATAGGTTTTGGGTATGGTAGTTCCCGTTGACCTAGAATCACGAAATTTGGCAAAAAGAAACGACTCGTACCTGACCGGTTTTTTGTCTAAATATCAAAGGGATACATTTTAGAGAATAATAAATATGAAAGATCGTTTGCTATTCGAAAATCAACCGTATATCTATATAGTATATATTTTATTCGTCAAAGTTATTTATTAGTTTCCTTTTAACGTATTAATATGAAGATTTAAATTTTCAGTCCTGACGGTTTTCTTTGCGGTGTATCTACAAAAGGCAGAGCTGCCATCTTGGACTGTGTTTATTCTGGCCGCTTTCGTAGCCTTCCACGTGATCATGCATTTAGTACTGTCGGTGAGTTACTTTACTTAAAATTAATAAATATCTACATTCCTGTGTGTCGTAAGAGTCGACTAAGTAAGCGAACTACGCAGAACAACAGCACTGCAAAGAGAAGGAAAACTTGAAAGAAACCCAATACCGACCCGCCTGGCCAGCGTGATATAGTAGGCCAAAACCTACTTTCTAAGAACACCCAGACTCGGAACAACAATTTGTGGATCACACAAAATGTCATCCCATGTGGGGATCGAATCTACTACACTAAGCGTAGTAGTAAGCGGCGTGGCGACTGCTTAAACTACTACGCGATCCATGCAGTCACTTTTTATTGTATATACAATTGTATAATGTAGGTATATATCGAAATCATGGTGTGCAGTCAAGAGTACTTATCTATCTAAATACAGTTAATGATATCCTGGTATGTGTGTCCCAGCTGACGGTGTGCGTGTCGGACGGGCGCATCAGCAACGGGCGCATCAACGCGTTCCCCATGAAGGACATGCTCGGCCACGCGCGACAGGCCACGCAGGTCGACCGCACCACCGACGCGCCGGTCAGTCACAGATACACCTTCAAACCTTTTTTAACACCTGCTTTTTTTAGGAAGTAGAACCCCCCTCCTAACACTACCATTATAATTTAAATTTACATAAATACTATTTCGTTTAGCCCACTCGACTCTCTTATACTCCTTTCATATCAATCTATGCAAATAAGCTAAGCAATACACTATTCAAACACCATCATCATCTCAGCCGAAAGACGTCAACCGCTGGACATAAGCCTCCACCGAGGTTCGCCACACACTGGTCCTTTGCTTCCCGCGACTTTCACCAGGTCGTCAGAACACCTTGGGAGAACTCGAGAACTTTTGGGCCCCATCGGCCATCGCTTTTATGAGCAATGTGCCTTGCCTATTATAATTATTGTAATTAATACTTACATATTTTGTTAACTCTCTTTACACAACTCTCTTCTTAACTACATTTTGGGGCTTTTGGGGGTGGCGACTAGGCCAACCTTCCAACCATCCAGCTCATGCAGGGGCCTTGCGCACTCGCGCAACAACTCAAGTAGAAAATATTTATCGGGAATCGCGCGTTACGCCACTCTAAATTTACGTTCAGGGATTCTCTGTTCTCTAATTTAATTCCACCTGTCATTTTGACAGGATTCCTCTAGGATTGTTGTCTGTATTCGGCTTATGCTTCATGTTCGAGCAGCGGTATGTGTTGTGTTGCCTTGCATTTTCTGTTCCTAGTATCATCATAGAAACTAATTTCACAAAGACATGGTCTCGCACGCAAGCCGCCATTGATCTCACCTACCATTTGAAAGCCAACTCTAGCACCGCGCCGCTCATTGGACTAACCAATAGAGCGCGCTTTCCCGGCTTCCTGATACACAATTCCGTCCCTTATAACGGAATCACTCCCACAGCTTATTGAGGAAAGCAGAAATACTTTTTGAATTGCATTTTTTATTATGGTAACTTAATAAACGTGGACATCAAAATATCATAACCGTGTTATTGTCTAGTAATTTTAAATTTAATTATATTTAAATATTTTCAGTTTTCAAGTTTCCGTCGGCTCCTGCTAGGTGTGTACGCGCCGATCATCCTGCTGTTTTGCATCGCCATGATTTGCCTCGTTGCGCTTGCGCCGATCGCGGAGACATACGATACTATCTTAGGCTCTTAATTTAATCGTCCATTATAAATTTCTTTAATTATTCGCACTCTTAACTTGAGCTTAGGTACTACTACATTTCTTATTCTATTCGTAAGTACTGCCATGTTATTCCAATACAGTTAGGTAGTAATTTGCACAAAATAGTATTAAGCAGAGATATTTTTCAGGATTTTACTAAATTGATTGTAATGTTTTATTTCTACAAATGTATTTTCTGCTAATTTTGCGTTTTTGAAATTCGTATCGTCGAACGATATTGTCATTAATACGTGACAATTGTGTTGGAATGTTACATAATTCTGTCAATTTATAACAATTGTAAGCATTTCCCAAGAATAGTGTTTACATAAGTACTTAAGCCACGAATTTTAATATTATAAAGGTAATTAGACTTTATAATGAACAAAGAAAGTGCATTTGCGTTATTTGCACACCATTTTCGATATTTCAGTGTCTTTTTCTTTTGACGATTGAACTAAGGAACATGTTATGTTAATTTCTGCGGTCCAGTGTTATTCATTCTGAGAAATTCAATTACAATGAGACAAATGCTATATAAAAAAAAAACGTTTTTGTTGCAATTTACTGTGCTCGTTTAAATAAAGTTATACGTAAATATTTAAGGTAAATATTACTTACCTGCTTCAAAAGCTTCATTAAAATATTTTTAATATTTTTTCCAAAGATTGTAAAAAATATTTCTTTATGTGTTTATTTGACGGTGTCAAAGTATAAATTGTAATTCCAATTTTTTAATCATATCTTAAGTCTATTATGTACTTATTTAGTTTTATATTTTTTAATTCACGATATTCAGTTTTATACGTCGGTTATTTATAGCCAGTTTAGTGATTGGTTCACCTAGATCTGTATAATGTTACTAAATTCCGTCCAGTAGAGTAAAAAAGAGATTCAAAAGAAAAAAAATATTCCTTTAGAAATTCAGAATAAGAGGCGTGGAGAAGAATGATCACTAGCAAAACTAAGCTGCCCAAGACGAATTTGAATTATTTAAACAATTCAATTACTTTATTAATTAGAGCTAACACTAGATCACTGTGGAATAAACTTGTGAGTTTTACTGTTTCATACAAATACTTTTGTTCAACAGCTAAACACTGAAGTGTTACAAATACTTCAGTGTTTAGCTGTTGAGAAGTTTGCTAAAAAATACGTGTATATAAACCAATTACTTTTGGCGGCACTCTTATTATACCGTATAGTATAGGTATATACTTAGGTATGTGTAAGTCTGGCGATTAGATAGTTTAGCTGTCTACATAATTATTTATTTATCGATACACGGTTTTACTTGTATTTAGGGGATACCCGACGAGTTTCGAACCCGACGGGAACTGTTTTTCATGAGAGTGAAGCGTCCTATCTCGACGATGTCAGTCGTCTTATTGGATTGGCGACGCTGTCAGCGTTTCATTTGTCTCTCGGACCTTGCGTATTTTGTATTGCCGTGTTATTATTTTCGTAAAACTGTATATCTTCATACATATAAATACCACTGGCATAAGTTTTTATTCTGATATATACATTATTTTCTAAATGTTAATTGTTTATTTAAGTATTAAAAGAACATTTTTGATAATAGAATATATCAACTTGAGGAAGGTTACATATCTGTTCTCTCATTATCATTCGTAGAGATGGCAAAAGACGCCTACTCTGTACTGTAAAAGAAGTTAGATTTTATTAAGAAGTGTAGGGTAGAATTAAACGTATAAAAGTTGACACCTTGTCATCAATTTTATAAATAAGCAAGTTAAATTATTGAATTTTATTTATGATGTAATTAAAATAGCATTGACATGGTCCGTTTCTCGTTTTTAACAACTTCTAATACAAGTATTTCTAGTTCTAGTATTTGACATTTTATTTTTCTTCAATTTTATCAATAATTTCCTGCTTAAAACTGTAAAGTCCTTACTACAACTTAATTGATTACCTAATTTAAACCAAATGTAGCCATATATTTTATTGAAATAATCCGTTGGTTAATATAAGTTGGTTGAAGTTATATTTTGTTTTCTATGTAAGCTTTTTGCTAATTGCACTTTATTGTACTTACAGGTTGGTTTTCTTCATTATAAGTTCAAATAATTAATAGGCAAGTTAATGAGATTAAGTGTTTAAAATAATGTTAGTTATGTAAAAAAATCATGGTAATAAAATAATGTAAATATAGTTATAAGAAAATAAACTAATACAAGCATAACATGGTGTTTATTTTATTTACCTTTCACATACAAAATTACATTAATACATCATTATAATTTAAAAAAATAACATTTTATAGATTTTTTATTTAAAATTCCCAAATTCCCCACTTCATCTGGTGTGAGGGACGTAGGGAAAATCTGGATGTGCAAAAAATTACATTTTGGTAAATACAAAGTTACTCATTAGAATTTTCGACATTAAATTGTTAATTAGTTTCAAAGTATTTATATAAAATGATTTAAAGTTTATTCATAGTAAGAGGCATTTAAAAATCAGGTTTATGTGTAAAAAAAACAGCTTTTATCACTTCTTAAAGAATCCTCAGATAGATAACCCGTATACTAAATAGATATATACAAATAGAATAATAAAATAAGTATAGTCCGGTGCAAAGTTAATGACGGCTCGGAACATCGTGCGTTTCGATGCGCAGAACACAATAATAGCAGCGGGACGTAAAGGAGCGCGGAGACCAGGCGACTCACGACATGCATGCCTTTTAGTGTGTGAGTTACATCCATACACTGCACATGCGTGCATATTCCTGTCTACGTACAAGCTAACTTCAGAGCCGCCATTAAGTTTGCATCGGACTATATCTACATCAACCTAAACGTAAATTAACGTCACAGTTTGACAATGTGAGGCAGTCCACTGTTTGTTTCAATGTGGACCTTGAATAAAAACATGTTTTTTTTTTTAATAAACAGGAAACACTATTACAGTCACTTAAATGAAAAATATAACATTTAAAATGCAAATATTTTATTTGTCAGAATGTAGATAAAAAATTATGTAATGTTTGTGTGACAATAACAGAATAAATAAATGAACTCTAGCAGTATTGTGCTATCAGCTTTTGGCAACCTGATGACTCAGTCTACATTAATCATTTCTCTCTTAGATAAGAAAAAATAGACTGGAGTCTTTCTTTCACAAGTATGCAAGAATGAATTGAATGTCTTCCAAAAATACTATCACTGTACCATTATGAGTTATGACTCATCTTTAGGTATCTGAGAATCTTCTACAGTCCGAGTAGCCGGTACATAGACTTTAAATGAGAATTCAGTACGTGGGAATGATCCAGGGTTCATTATATGACAGCCCTTATAACTGCGTGTAAAAGGCTGAAAATGATCTGCAACTACAACTAGATCTGGTAATGGGTATAGATTTAAGGCACTCGCATGTCTCCAGTATACTGGCTGTACACGCAACGATGTTGGTAGTAAACAGCACTGACTAAGGAGTGTTTTGGTCAAATGGTCTGGTATATCACCAGTTTCTGGGAAACGGAGGGTATTTCTACACAGTTTCATCACTAAATCTTGTCTAAACACTACAAATTCCTGTGTACAATATTGTATACGACAGGGATTTGATGTAAAAATTACATTTTTATCTAATTTCTGTTTCATAACATCTGTTAGATGATCAGGTATTGGGGGCCGAGGGAGTACATCTGCAGCAGCTGGATCTGTTTTTCCTGGTACAAATATGAACTGACACTTTTCACGTAAATTTTTGAACTGACAAATAAGATCTGCTAAATCATTTAGAGCACTTTTGAATTCTTGTTTATGTAAATAAGTATATGTATAGGACAGAAATTCACCCATAAACACAATCGCTATTGGGGGATAGTCTTCAAACCCTGCAAAGAGTTTCTTCAAGTTGTCCATCACCTTTGCTAAATCTAACCAAACCTCAGACAGAAAAACGAAAACTCCATCTTGGTTCTCTTGTTCAATTTTTAAAAGAGCTTTTGAGTTTTTTAATGAGGATTTAGATTTCCCACCAAACATATTTAAATTGCCAAAATATGGTGATGATTCATCTCTACTTTCAATAGGAGGTTGTACAAGACCTGTGACATATAGTGTTTTATCCTCGTAGTAACCTTCTGCTAGTACAAAACTATTCTCAGTAAACAAGCCAGAATGATATCTCGCTTGAGATAGATCTAGGAGTACTGATCCAGTTGGGTCTTCTAGATGATACTTTCGTTCAACAATCTGAGATATTAGCCCTAAAACTACAACTTCATCAATTTTACTTGAACAACTTAGTAAATACTCGACTTTGCGGAGTTGAAAACATTTGTCAGTATCTGATGAGGACAACGGATCTAGTGTAAACAGTTTGTTACGTAGTGTTCTCTGCCAAATTGTAGTGTATCTATCCAACATATATTGAGCCTTCCACTTAGGTTCAGGAAATAAACACATAGTACTACTCACGTCCTTTACGAATTTCTTTAGTTCTTGGTCGTAGCAAAGTTTGGGTACAGTAAATCCGTCGATCACATTTAGAATGGTTTCGTTCTCTTCAAGACCTTCTAAAGAACATTCTTTGTAAGCAGTTTCCAAGTGTTCTTTTTCTAAAATTGGTTGGGACAGGCATTGATGTAGTAAGTGAGCCGTAAGTTTGTCCAACATACTCTGTCTTTCATCGGGAGGCAGGAGCAATAGTTGATCTGCAACGAAAGTACTGGCTTCTCTTCGTATAGTAAAACCACTTAATTTAAACGCCGTGTTAACTTCTAAACGCACTTTTTGGAGATCTGCCATGCTTCATGCCACTTCTAAATAAAAACTGTGAATAGTGGACAACGATTTTAAAGTTTTAATGACCAGTAAATCTTTATTGATTTACAAAAAGGCGCCAAATCATAATAAGATCAGCTGTGAAGTGACACTGACATGAATTGTCTGTCAGACTTTGACAGTGTTCTTAATATTTGCAGATCTAATGAAAAGTTTGTTGGGATTGAATTAACTAAAGGTTTGTTTCCTTTTTACATTCTATCTGTTTTTTGTTATTCAGTTTCATATAAAAAAGAACAGTTATTGGTCATTGTACGTAACATTAAATAATAATTATAAAAAAATATCAAGAAAATTGTTACAAAGTCGAAAGCGTAGCTAAACGCAGCTTCTATGTGTCAAATGTTAGATCTTTTTATTTATACGCTGTGGTCAAGTGTCAAAACAAATGTATGAATGGAAAGTCCGGTCGGTGATTCACCGTAATATAATATAAAATCAGGTCGAAAATTATTTTCCTTTAGTGTTTTATATGTTATTACGTAGATTGATTCTACCTTTTGTTGTGACTATCAAACGCCAAGCTTCGGTAAGTTAATCTCTGAAAAATTTCACCATTTCTTAAGAAGTTACTTTCGTCATAATATTGTAATAAATTAAATTGTGCGGAGATTTTCACAAGTTTCTTATCTTATAGGACTGATTTTGATTCTCCTATGAGAGACATACTTGTAGTTTGCTAAATTGTTTGCAATTAAATGAGACAAGTAAGTATACATTGAAAATGCAATGGTTAGCATTTTATTTTAGAAATTTGAAGTGTGTTCAAGGAGAATCCTTATTCTAACTACAAGCTTGTGAAATTTGAATAATTTTTATCCTACTGTAGGCCGAATCTCTTGTTATCATTGCATAAAACTTTAATTCATCAACAGAACAAATTACTTGAGTGTGAATTATGTGATAAAAATATCTATATGTATTTTTTACTTTTCCAGGGGAAGCAAAATAATATGGATCTATCAAAACAATTTCAAAATTATGCTTGGTAAGGTTTTAACTATTTAATTTATATATTGAATCATATTCAGTGTACATTATGAAATAATAATTCTATACCCTAATATTGAATAATGTAAATAAACAAAGAAAATAAAAATGGATGCTATAATGCATATATATAACTAACTTTTGCCCGTGGCTTAGCCCGCGCGTTTGTCATTTTTCATCAAAAGTCAAATCTTATGCTCTTCAATTCCTCAAGAATTAAATTATAATCATCATCAACCATCTTAATCTCTATATCAAATTTCATCTAAATGGGTTCAGCGGTTACCACTTCTCCCTCCCCTTTTCACCCCCTTAAAGCACAATTTCTATGACAAAAACTATCCTATATCCTTTCCTGGAACCCAAACTATCTCTATAACAAATTTTATGACAGACAGACACACTTTTGCATTTATAATAAAAGTATCTTTTTATACTTTACTAACTCAATATGTTGCAAGAAGTATTGTTTTACACAGCTTTACATTTAATGTTTTACATTTCTTGTGTAATCACACTTAATATTAAGTAAGATTATAATAACTCATGTCGACCGAATGGCGTAGTGGTTTGTGTAACGGACTGCTATTCCAAAGGTCGCGGGTTCGATTCCTGCTCAAGTCAAGCATTTGTGTGCATGAACATTTAATGTTTGATTTGGTCTGGGTGTTTCTATGTATAATATGTATGTATTTACAAAAAAAAAAAAAAAAAGTATATATGTATTTATATCAGTTGTCTAGTACCCATAGTACAAGCTCTGCTTAGTTTGGGACTAGATGGCGTTGTGTCAATGTGGTAAAAAAAAAATAAAAAAATGTGGGGCATACTGAAAGCCTAGATCTGGCCACTTACACAGTCTTTTATTGTAAGTAAAGTAAAAAACAGTTATGGAATTCGAAAATGGAACTCTTTGGAAACATGTTACTTTTTCATTTGCGAGACTGTCATTTGTTTTTTTCATTGTGATGTCCTTTCGAAAGTTGTGTGTTGCTATCAAAATAAATTTAACTCGTGAAGGTTTTCGTTCAATGTTTTTTTTTCGTTGTGGCTTAAGTCAACAAGAGAGTTAGTTGCCAGAGACTTCAATTGGCATTCGGTGATGAAGCACCAGGTCGCAGCTCAGTGTATTCTTAGTTTAGAGAACTTAAACGTGGACTGATCATCTCCATGACTCGGTACGTGAAGGTCGGCCGGCAACAGCGGTTACAGACTCTAATATTGACACCGTACGATAACTTTTTGAAACTGACAAAGAATTACTTGCCATTAAATTCGTGCTTTGCTTAACCATTGGAGAGAGCCAAGTGCAAAACATTTTACATGTGCATCTGAAGCTTCGGAAGCTTTGCACTCGATGGTTACCGCATGTAATACGCACGTACGTGTACGTTTCCTGTAATAATACAGTGGTTTCAGCGAAATGCATTATTTTTTTCTTTTGAGAGACGCAGAAGAAGTTGTGCAGCTTGTATTTAATAATATCCATAAAAACAGGTTTTGTAACGTTAGTATGACTGAGAATATAAATGTTTCTTTTATTTTAAGCACACCCTTTTTTTTCTGTTCGGAAATCACTTCGGATACCACTTACTGGTAGCATTGTCGGACTCGAACCGACTAAAATCAGTCTCAGGTACCAGTAGTCGGGGAACCAGGTGTACCCTAGACAGCAAATCCTGGTGCCCCGACGTACCTCGGGCCATCTACGGCGCGTAGACGACCCCCCCCCCCCCTGTGTGGGAACCCCCATGTTCCCTCTGTGCTCCCGAAAGGACGCACGCGCTTCGCAACGCGCTTGTCGCCACCCCGGGCTGCTTCTGCTAGGATGACAGATGGCCTCACCTGTCACCCCCAGGCCTGCGCTTATGGAGGACGGAGGTCGTTCTGCGACCTCCGGCGCCTGAGTCGTCTGCGGTACCTGGACCGGACCTGGCGGGCTGGGAGAGTTCTAAACCTCCCTCGGTCCCGCTTCGCCATCTCCTTCGCAAGCATAACTTGCTCGCAGATTTAAGCCCACCCTACGCGCCTATATGGCGGTTACTGAACCCTTAACAAATCACATTATCTACTTTGAAGATAACCGGTGTTAAACGCGCGTTTATAAAACATGCATGTTTAACGCCTAAAACACTATACAATAATTTATTGAGCGACAAACGCCCGTAATCTGAACAGAACAGTCTTAATAGAAGGTTTTATGATTTGTATTATATTGTAAGGCTTCTCAGTTACTAGTATTAAGTAATCTAGCATATTTTACTAACTATATAAAAATGCTTTAAACAAAACACTCCACTTTATAAATACTTGCTACTTTTAATTAGATCGATGTAGGTATCTCTAAGCTTTCCGTTATGTTATACTGTTACTTTACGAGCGCGGTAACCAAATTTCTACGTAAGTACTTATCTGACATTATATTTATACTTAGTTCAAATTCGCTCCATTACCTGTGATTGCATTGGTACAATTTCTTTTAATCCTCGAAGTAAACTTGGTTCGTTTAGTCATTAATTTGTAAGCCGTGCAGAGCGAGTGGGTGGTATCCGAGACCACTTGTACGATTGCACAACGCTAACATACATAACACACAGGTATTATATATACATTAACTCAATTTAATACCGTTTTTACGACTATCGATGATAACAAGACTGCAGCTGACGAATTAATTGGTTGCTTATACACGCACTATGCCCTCTAGATAAAACGGCCGCCCACGTAATCCTGGAATGCGAGGGAGTGGCCACACAATGGGCAAGTATCATACCGGGTACAAAATCGCTCCTAGAAGTCTTTGAACGTTCTAGGAGGCTTCTGCGCTTCTGGAAGGAGCTTGGTGAAGCACCACTCTCAAGTCTGAATGCCCACAACCAATACCAATACCTCTAGATAGAACTCTGATTTTATCTGCAGGAGATATATCTGGTTTGGGGGCTTAGTGTTAGTTTATTTTACATCAACTAGATTGTCACGGTGACAGCATTCGTTGTTGCGATTGGCCCGCATTGAAATGTTCATATAATGCAACGCCAAACGCGCTCACCGTCGAGAGCGGGTTGATGTAAAATAAACTCACACTTGACCCTTTGAGCAGAAATCTACCAGGTTAACGTCCTTAACAATGCCTTACATCTTTAAGCTATAGCCTCTTTTAATAACAGAGTCCAAGAAGAAGAAATTCTTTAAAAAAAAAGGTTAATCCGACTTCAAACAATACTGACAAAGAGCACTAAAAACCTAGCTAGCTAGCTAATCATGGTTGATTTGCTGTCATTGTTTGAAGAGTTTCATTGTCTGTCTCCGAAACCCATCATCAGATCTATATGAAGTTTAAATGGGAGAATTACGGCATAAACCCCTTTCGAACAAAAAACTATTTTTTTAAAATTCGTCTGTATTGACAGAGTTATGTCCTAACATACATTAAAAAAAACTTATACATCTACATCCGATCTACATCAACAACTTTATCCGAATTGATAACCTCCTTCTTTTGAAGTAGGTTAAAATATAAGAAAGTGAATTACCTATGAATTTCAACTAGAATGAACTACTGAAATGCTTATAAGGCTCAACTCAGTAGTACTAGTGTTCCAAGGTGACATGAGCGGTTGAAATGCACTGATATCGATTACGACGCTGCTGTGTAATATCTTATTATTTACTAGGTAGTACATTACAGCCTGCCAACGCTGCGTTGCCATTAGCGATATAAATTTGCTACTTTTAAATAATACTCATATCATGTAATAATTGGTTTTAGTCATGCGTTTTCACCTGCGATAAGTCACTACTATGATTTGGTCATAGATAAAGATCGCTCAAAACATATTTCATATCCAGCCATCAAAACATATTGAATTTTCTTTTTATCAAAAAAAGAAAAGGTCGTATACCTTTTCTTTTTTAATTTTTAGACCTTACGCGAGTTTGGCGCTAGCGTAATCATAATCGCAGTGATTATAAAGATTAGTCAAAGGATGCGTTTTTAAATCATATGATTTATCGCAGATAATTGTAATTTTATTCCATTCGCCATATAGCTACACCTTCTGTCTATCCTAGTCCTTACAGCTTACATGACATATGACCGACAAAAAGGCATGAACACCTGAAGGTTGATTTGAAGTGAATGTAAATTCAGTTTAAAATTTAAAGAAAAATAACCAGAGATAAAAAGATGTATAATTTGTGTGGGCACGTGTAACGAATAATATTCATCGTCTGATCAGATTAAGATAACTTATTGCATAGTAACGAAAGAATAAAAGTAGATACACCGTCTTTGAAAAAAAGATGTGTAACACGCAAAAATGGAAAGGTGTCTGCAGTAAATAAAAATAACGACTTACTTACTTACTCTTTACTTTGCAAGCATATTTTCAAACAAAACTGGGTTTTATATATGTATACAAAGCCAGCATTGTTTGTTTCCTTATTGTGTAAAATAATGAATACTCTCATTTGACAATTGGAGTTCCCACATTTAGAAAGTACCGGGCGTCTCTTGAAATAACTCTTTGTACAATGAGGTCATAATATATTGTTCACACTTCACTACCTGAACTGTGCAACTTCGTCTGCGTTTGTCATCCATACTGTCCATTCTAATATTACGAGTATAAATGCGAAAATGTGTCCGTCTGTCTGTTCCTCTTCACGGCTAAACCGCTGAACCGATTTATATGAAATTTGGTACAAAGACAGTCCGAATCCCGGGAAAGGACATAGGATAGTTTTTATCCCAGAAATCATCCTAGAATGGGGTGAAAAGGGGGATTGAAGTTTGTATGGGAAATTAATAACTGCTGAACCGATTTAGATGAAATTTAGTATGGATATACTTTGATTCTTGAGGAAAGACGTAGACTTTTCACCGCGATAACCTACATTTTCGCGGGTGGAGCCGCGGGCAAAAGCAAGTAAATAATAAATTTTACTCGTTTTTGTAATATTTCTCATTGATGCTCGGCTCCTATTGGTCGTAGCGTGATGTTACACAGCCAATAGCTTTCTTCGATAAATGGGCTATCCAACGTGAAATAATTTTTCAATTGTAACCCGTAGTTTTTGAGATTAGTACCTTTAAACAAACAAGCAAAGTCCTTAGCTCAATAATATTAGTATACCTAGATTAAAAGTCTGATGTAAGATTTTAACGCATAGAAAGTCAGACAATTGCTTGGAGTGATAAGATAATACACCCGATTATCAGTGATGCCTGATGTTCCTATACGGCACGATAGGTGTGTACTTGTTTTAACTTGTTGCGACGTGTTTCCACTGACTTAATAAAAAGGCGCTTGTTTTTTTTGTTAAGAAATTAAAAATGGAGGAGGTTCTCAATTCTACTTAGTAGTTTTTTTTGTGTATGTTACATACTTTGCAATATTTTCGTCATTTATGAAATGACTTAAGATATTCCTTTTTAAAAGAATTAGACTTAAGGTTTGACTTGTTTAAACTTGCAGACAGTACACAGAAAAGTAGAATTTACTTCAATTAATTAAGATTTAGGTTCATTAAAGTCGATTGTACTTTATTATTTATATTGATTAAAAGTAACTTTATGGATTCTTTTAAATGTTCTTTTTTTGTAACTCTGTACATCAAAACGGTTCTATGCATGTACATATATTCTTCTATGTATTTATTTATTTATAAGAAACAACAAATCTTCAAGAAAAAAGACAAAACATACAATACTTAAATCATCTGCCTACTCTTATCCCGATTTTATTGGAGGGTAGGCAGATGTTTTAATAAACTCAAACTCTGTTAATTTCATTTTTTTTTAAAATGGTTTGACTAAATAGACTCTAAAGTCATAGATCAACACACACAAAAACAACAATCTCTGTTTTGTCCAATAGTAAGTGAATAAATTTAACAAAAATCAAACCCATACCCATAATCTATGATAAGCCTGTGCCGATCTACAACCGCCCGTTTCCAAGGGGTTGAGTACTAAAATTAAACAAAAATAAATTCTAAATTAACTACTTAATTGCCGGTGAGTACTTCATGATTTTGCTGCGATAGGATTTCTTTGTCAATTAAAATATGTCTATATTTTCAAATCTTTCGTGGAACAATATTCAACTTAATATAATAACCAGTTAGTTTTGAAGATTGAATCGGTCGAGACGTATCTTTTATATCAGTTATGTTAAAAATGCAAGGCGTGTCGCATTACGTTTAGTGTCTTCTATATTCATGTAACCTGCTTATTTAAATTTCACTTTTACGGTTTACTATTTTAAATAAGCAGAAGCCAAACCGTCAGCAACGTAGCTGTACAGTTTGATAGTCATTCAGAGGAAAGTCTTTTTGTGAACACCGCTTTACAATCTTAAATTAGTAATAAACATTTAAAACTCGAACCCGTCAAAATGAATTATATGAACACAAACTCATGGGAAGTTTAACACCGTCGATCGGCGTGTAATCTAACTAAGATACGTCATGAGTACCAACTAATACTACATCACGCAATTAAAGTTCTCGACCGTCGGTCACGGCAGCTACGTATGATCACCTAACCTGATCGAAGGCCCTTTGCATTGGAGGGATATAACACCCGTTTCTCCAAAACGTTAAACAGCATTCTTCTTAAAAAATATCTATCCTTAAGATTTCAGGATAGTCTTAGTCCAGTTGGTTAGTTTATTTTGTATTTATTTTAAATATTCAGGTGCAAACCAGACTGGTGCTTCCCAAGTATGAGTAAGGAAACCAATGAGCTTTTGAAACAGTGTGCTAGTATTGAGCAGGAAGAGGTGTTCGATGACATTGATGAAGTTATCGCGAGGAGTAAGGCCTTCCCAATACCGTTTCCAATTGAGACTGTCAGGTAAGTTATAAATCCATGCGAAGTGTATATGTTGCATGACTTTTTTTTTTTTTTTTTTTCCGTGCGGAAATCCCCTCGGATACCACCGATGGCATGTCGGACTCGAACCGACTAAAACCGCACGCCGTCTCGGGTACTAATAGCCGGGGAACCAGGTATACCCTAGAAAGGAAATCCCTGGTGCCCCGACATACCTCGGGTCATCTACAGACGAGTAGACGACCCCCCCCCCCCCCCCGTGTGGGAACCCCATGTTGCCTGTGCTCCCTGGAAGCGAGCAACAACAACGCAACGCGCTCGCCGCCACCCCGGCCTGCTTCTGCTAGGGTGACAGATGGCCTCACCTGTCACCCCCAGGCCTGCGCTTATGGAGGACGGAGGTCGTTCTGCGGACGGAGGTCGTTCTGCGATACGTTGCATGCCTGCGTGCGTGTGACGTGTTTGTATGCGTGTGTGTGTACGAGGTGTGCGTGTGTGTTTGTGTCCAAACCAAAAGTGGACTAGTAAAGGCAATATGGAATTAAGATAATATGTGCTTGTTACCTACTGCAATGTAGATTTTAACGTGTATAGTTAACTGGATTGGTATTATTATTTATATTTGGCAGGTTAGAAAAGCTGAAAGTGCGACGGCCTATAGAAAAATTAAAAAAGAATATTGTGTCCACCTACCCCCTAATACATGAACGAGTGGTTCTTCTAATGACACATTTCTTGATTTACAAAAGGTAAGTTGTCCGTGTTGTGATGGATTAAGAGTACGGAGTGTCAAAACCCCTATTCATCCCGTCGGTGTCGTAAGAACCGACCAATGGAGCAAGCTACGCAGACCAACGACACTGCCAAGAGAAGGAAAACTTGTAATCAACCTTATACCAACCAGTCTGGCCATCATGGTACAGTAGGCCCAAAACCTCTTTTCTAAGCATTTAGCTATTAAAGGCCGATGATGTGATGTGAAGTTAAGCCGGCTAGCGATCGGCTTACTTACTAATATAGTAGCGAATATCATCATCGTCATCATCTCAGCCGAAAGACGTCAACTGCAGGACATAGGCTTCCCTTAAGGTGCGTGACAATAGCTGACCACTAGATCGTCGGACCACCGTCTTCTGGTACGCGGTTGCCACTCGAGAACTTTATGGCTCCATCAGACATCGTTACTGTGCAATGTGCCCCGCTCTCTCGTCTGCGAATACATCGTGAGCGGGTGCAATGTTATCACACACATATTTGCTATGCTAACTTATTGCTACCAGGCACTTGGAGAATTAAAAAAAATGGGAAAATTAGTAGTAGGTATATTACAAGGAAAAGGGAATACAAGAAAGGAAGTCCGAAGATAGCTTTGCGTAATAGCAGAACTCTGTAGTTTTCCTCGTGAATACATAATTTGGCTGGAAAGGCAAATAGGGATTGCGTGGTAAAGTAAGTCAAATCGTACCTTTTGTAAAGGGCCTATGTCCAGCAGTGGACTCTTGAAGGCAGTTGACGATTATAGATAACTGTTTACCATAAGTAGGGCTTGTCTATCTATAAATTTAAAATTATTTGCCCTGACTAACTGACTAATTCATCAGCGCTAGTCTAAACCGCTGGGTCTACCATTTTGAAGTTTTAGCAGCTGATGCTTTTTATGTTGTAAGGTAGGATTTTTGGCTATTTCACCCATATAATAGGGGGTAAAATAAGGGTTTTTTTTTAAAAAGACAACTCCCGCACTAGGAATATCCTGTGCCGCGGGGGACTTTATAAACAAACATGAAACGGACACATAAAACACCCAGACTTAGGACAACAATTTGTGGATCACACAAAGTTCGTCCCATGTGGGGATCGAACCCACAACACTCAGCGCAGTAGTAAGCGGCGTGGCGACCGCTTAAACCATTACGCCATCCGTGCAGTTATATGGAGTTATATGGAAGTTTGTCAATTTCAAAGTTAGAACCTCGAAATAAAAATAATCACGTAAGCGAAGCCGGGGGCAACAATTAGTCAATTTTTTTTTTTAAATTAATATGTTTCAGGGAGTTTGGTAGTCTTATAGAGAAGGAGTTCTACAAAGATATGGGCGTTGCAGACTTGATTGACAGGATATTGAAGAAGCGAGCCATCTCCTTTGTGGGTCCAAAAGACGCGTATATGCTTATGTCGGGAGAAGAAGGGTGAGCATATTGAAATATTATGTAAAATAAAGTAGAAAGAGTATATCTTAGAACTTCATTTATAGAAACAGCTTGCAAGTGTATCCGCCTTGATTGATTTACTCTAATCATTTTATAAAAGCTGGCAGTTCAAACAAACAGTTGAGGCAAAATGAGGGCCCAGTGTGAGTTTATTTTTCTCATCAACTGGATCGTCTCCGTGACTGTGTTCGGCGGTGCGATTGGCCCGCACTGAAATCTTCACCAATCGCAACGCAAAATGTGAAATAAACTAACACTCCTTGACATATAAGCATAGAGAAAACACGGGGTACTGCTGCCTGTACTTACAGGCAGCAGTACCCCGTGTTTTCTCTAAGCGGAAGCGATACAGAAAACAAGAAAGATGGATGCCCGATAGTTCCCTCTGTCTCTGTTTAGGCAAGCTGCGATTGGCTATCGTGAAGTGGGCATAAAGCTAGCCAAATGTAAATTTTCTAGACTAAAATAAAAGTATACATATGTAAATAGAGTAGCCGACATTTCCTTGATTGGGATTTATATGACAGTTGTTAGCGTACTAACTTATAAAGTATTGATTCATGTAATTATAACAATAAGCGACATACAACCAAAAGTTGGTTGCAGCACTTTGCAGCGTACGCAAGAAATAATAATATGTAAAAGGTGAAACCTAAACCAGTAGGCCAAAACCTCCTTTCTAAGGAGAGGCTTATGTCCAGCAGTGGACTGTTAAAGGCTGATGTGAAAAGGTGAACACTATTTGTATGTGCGTGATCGTATAATTACCGGACACTTACTATGATGAAATCCTCACACCAGACATGGTTAAAAGTAGATTAACTAAAATTTTAATTATGTTATTGTTTATTAAAAAGTAAATAATTTGAACAATTAAAAAAGAAGAAACGCTAGTCCTTAAACTAACCATTCGACCGCCTTCGGTCACCGATTGCCTCTCATAGAAATTATCTTTAGGTGCACTAAGAACTTAAAACGCCTTACACACGGCCCTTAATCTCACACTAGGCAGAGTCAGCACTATGGTAATGTGACTACTCAAAAACATGATTAAATATCACTAAATACACACATATTATAAATAAATTCCTATTAATCCGGCGAGAAATTTTCCATGTTGTGACGGATTAAGAATAGGAGTGTCACTACCACTATTTATTCTGTGGGTGTCGTAAGAGTCGACTAAGGGAGCTAACTACACAGGACAGCAAGAGAAGGTAAGCTTGACACAAACCCTATACCAACCCGTTTGGCCAACGTGGTATACTCGTAGTATGCCATAACCTCCTTTCCAAGGAGAGGCCTATGTGCAGCAGTGGACTATTAAAGGCTGTTGATGATGATAGATACACCCTGTCGATTAAATGATCGTGTTCATCACACAATACCTAACTATGAAATGTGAAAAGGTATGGTCACATCAAGCAAGGCAGGAGCACCGCTCAGGCTGCCAAGCGGCGTTATTCGAGCATTCCTAGGGCTGGTCGGGCTGGTCGGGGCGGACGGGGCGGTCGGGGCAGAGGCAGATTTCATCGTGACACATCAAACTTCATTTGGTAGATATTTTTCATTCAATTTCATATGCGAGTGAAAATATTTATTAAAAATAAACAGTATAATGTATTTTTTGAGAATGTCCGTCCAATTTCGGACCTTTCCAAGACACGCTCTATAGAGACTCTTTATCGAGAGGTGTTTAAGCGACCTGTGTTTTAATAAATTTTAATACCACTAACGAAAGTTTAAAAAATATATATATTAAAAGAACAACAAAGAGTTATGTTAAATGCGTGTTTTTTTTAATTGATTGACATAAATATACCATGAATGCAAATGGTTTGTGCAAAATATTAAATTTGGGCTTCCTTATTGTACATCTGTAATGTAAACATTTGATTTAACGCAGCATGTTTCTAATTGAGTAAGTTTGCTTAAGTAATGCTAGCTATGTGAAATGCTAGCCAATCAAAATCGCTTGACAAACTACGCCTACCTGAAGTACTACCCAAGTGCATCGACTCTTGTAAACTTTGTTTAAAAAATGACAGTAGATTACCCTCGATTTGATTGTCAATTTTATTCAGGTTGGCAGTTTGCTCAAAGATAAAGTTTAAAAAAATAAAAAAATGAACCTTATCTCATTAAAATAGAGCCCAAATGATAATCAAGCTGTAGAACTTATTTTTATGGAAAAACGTTTACGGACAAATTTTTTTCTTATACTATAGGGGGCCAAAGGATTTAGGGGTCACCTGATGATGAGTTACTGCCTGTGGACACCTGTTATTTAAGAGTCAAGTCCGTTGCCACCCTTTCAGTCCCGCCCCGAGAATTAGGTCTTAGCAACGAAAGAATATTTTAACACCGGTTTTCTGTGAGGCTATAGCTCCGGTCGAGCCGGGCCATCTGCCAGAAGCTTTTTAAATGGCTCATTTTTAAAGTCCTCTAGCATTTTCCTTCTCATACCCATACACTTGATTAAAAATAAAACATCACAAAATTACATGTTACGTCACAAGTCAACAACATTTCTATAAGGGCAACCATAAAGTACGCGATATATTTTTTTGTTTTCAGTTCTGGTGGTTGGGAGACAATCGGCACTATGCAACAAAAGCCACCGTTAGTGTTAGAAGACTTGTTAAGTTATGATGAGATAAAGCTTTCCGCTTACGTATTTGTGAGTGGTCACACCGAATGCATTAACGACGGCGACAGAAAAAACGCTGGGGTTGTCAGCGAAGAAAATACTGAGAAAAGTGCTGTTATTATCGGTAAATCTTATTTTAGTTTTAATCGGAGATTTTATTTAAAACTTTCTTGAGTTTAAAGAGTAAAGCGTGGCGTCGGTCAACAAGATGATTCATTCCTCGAATGAAGACTCATTTGGAGTCCAGGACTAGTCAGACTTTCTCGAAATAGATAGATAAGTAAAGCGGTATGTCCTAAATACTTCTCACAGATTGTTCTTAAGATTTTACTATTCCAACATTGTAGTGCTTGAACTCATCACCAGGCGGCGCTAGTCGTAACAAATTATAAACTAATGTTAAACATTTAGTTATTAAAAAACTAAATTTTATTTTAAGGTTTCTTGGAATAAAATATTCCTTCTGCATCTATCTAACTTTATTGTGTTACTACACTTGACAAATCTTTGCCAAAAGTGCCCTAACTCAAAACGCAATTTGTATGAATTTATCAAGATAGGCATCAGAAAATAGAATGCATAGATCAATTGACCATTGCTTAGCTTTCGATACTCAATAATTTGAACTCTTTACTCAACAAATTACAGCAAGATTTAGATGTTCCATGAATTTTGAGCTAGTTTACTTTATCTTAAGGCCAATTGACTTGTTATATCGTAATAACTCAATACTTGTTAATTAGTTAATTACTTAAACTAACGTATTATATTTGTGTAGGCGCCATTGGACCTCGATTCCAGCGACCAGGCCGCATGGACTATGAAGATATTCTTATCACAGAAGATCAAAATTGTCCAGAAAACGGGTATGGCGAGGAAGTCACACCAACTACTTGTCTCAATGTCTTGAAGACAACGTACGTGAGGAACAACCAGTCAGCAAAACATATGTGGCGACAAATCTGGTCAGAATTCTTTCAGGTATGGTTTTCCTGGACTTGTGGAGTGGCAAATGACGGATGAATGATGGAATGAAGGATGGCGTAGTGGTTTAAGCAGTCGCCACGCCGCTCACTACTACGCTGAGTGTTGTGGGTCCGATCCCCACATGGGACGACACTTTGTGTGATTCACTAATTGTTGTTCAGAGTCTGGGTGTTCTTTGTGTCCGTATCATGTATGTTTGTAAAGTCCCTAGCGACACAGGATTTATTCCTAGTGCGGGAGTTGTTATAAAAAAAATGCAAACGATATCTCTGTATCTTCGGTTCTAATTAAAGTACGAGATGCTTGTTGGTCTTATAATGCTCTTTGCGATGAGGTCTTTCATTCAAGTTTTGCCCACTTAAGTTAGTTGCCTCAAAAAGAAACTAGATTTTATCATTCAACTTAATCCTTCTTCTTCTTCAAGATTAATTATTTTTATTTTTTTATTTTATACTTCCTGCAAATATATTGCATAAGGCGAACTTAATGCCATAGGCATTTTCTTCCAGTCAACCTTTGGGTGATGAAAAGATGTTTGTGTGGCAGGTGTATAGTTTTTTCTATGTTTGAAAACACGGTATTGTCTTGTGCTATTAAGGCATGTACTGAAGCATATGTGATTAACTTACTTGTTACTTTTTAGTCTTTAAAGATATTTTTTTGAACTTATAGAAAATATTTTTTTAAATTTTAGCTCGGCTAGTTACAAAAGCGTGTTATTTTAAACTTTTATTTATTACATTATTATTCGTATTATATAAAAGAGTGATAAATTTAACTATCTTGAAAATCGTTGAAACATATTTTATATTTTTTTCAGGTACCAAGTTATACATACCAAGAACTATCCTCCTATGTGAGCTCTTCAGATTCGAGTCCAGAGAAGCTATATACAGACAGATTTGTGAAAATTAATAAAAAGAATCAGGACTACATATTTGACAATGAAGTGTATTATAAAAGGATAGCTGTTCTTGCTGAAACTGTGTTATTGGAAGCTGATTCGAGAGCCAGGGAAGAAGAGAAACCAGCATATGTCAATGTCATTGGATGTGGTAAGTATTTTTTTATGGAAGAGGATGCGTCCTCTATCTTTGGGTCCGGATACAGCGTCCAACCCCACCATTCCCTACCAGTAATTTGGAGACAAGAGGCACTCAAGAGGCAGCACGCGCCTCTTAAGTTACAGACCGTCACAATGGGCGGCGGTAGTCTGCTCGACTGCCCCCTATTCCATTAAAAAAGCCTAAAGAAAGAAAAAATATAACCTATTACTTTTATTTTGTATGTGTATAGAAAACTTTAAAGGCATCAATTAAGTAGTTATAAATTTAGAGTCGTTTTGATAAATCCCCCCCCCCCCCCCCTCGGTTCTGAAATTAGTATACACGAAATACACCATGAGTAAAACCGTATCTTTGATAAATATAATATCTTTTTGTTGCCCAACAGGTCTAGGTGTTTGGATGATATCACCACATCAACTGGACGTTTATGTGCTGACTTTCTTGGAGCGAGTCAAATATTTACTCCGCAAGGAATTATTGCAGAACGTTTCCGATGTCAACTTTTCATACATTAAGCCTACTCAGAAAATATTAGGTAATCGTAACATTGTGCAGCTGTTGTGCATATGTGTGTGAGTGCGCGTACGTGCACGTGCGTGGGCCTGTATGTTTTTCAGTGTGCTTGCATGTGGGCGAGCGTGCATTTTTGTGTTTTATGATATAATATATAATTTTGTACATATTTACAATTATTTTCTGTATAAATGTGTGTGTGTGTGTGTGTACGTGTACATGATTGTGTGTATGTATGTATATATAAAATATATTATAATCTTAACATTGTATATTTTTTATTTTCAGCAATGTTTAGTGAAACAGGGTCTGGAAAAAATAAAGTGCGAAAACTGTTCCTTGAAAGTAAAAAGCATCCACGAGGTTAGTTTTAATGCAATATTCTTAAACGGCTAAAATTATAAATCTCTCATCTCATAGATACGATTACACGAATTATTAATTTTAGCCCTAATTTTTTGTTTTTTATTCTAACTTGTGTCAGGTCGAGTTTGAGTAAAATGTAATTTATGTATTACTGTAGACCTAAGTAGATTCAATGCCACGGCTTAGCTCTGTATATATAAGCCCTGTTGTAATCTACATATATAAATAGTACTTGCACTGACCGACTAATTCATCAACGCAGAGCTTAAAATACTGGGACTACAAACTTTAAATTTTGGCATCTGATGTTTTTTATGTTTTAAGCATCCACTAAAGGCCTCCTAGCCAATTAGCTCCTAGCCACTATGTCATTCTAAGATTCTGTCATTATTAAAACTATTTTATTATTGTTTCTATAAAATAGTTTCGATGTTTCAATTCAATTCAATTTTTTTTACAATTAGGGATTTTCCTTAAGTATTCAGTATATTTATATAAAATATTTATTTATTATTTGCACTTAAACAGGCGGCATCAACGTGCAAATTCTACAGCGACAGCCTTCGTCGGCGTTAACAGGGGAACACAAAGGCAAATTATTAGTCATGACATACCCATGGGATGGAAATGCACATCCAGGAAACGAATTCTGGTGAGTATTTAGTTTTTAATGTCTTGCCTACGAATACTGATTTCTTTAAGACTGCAACTTTCATATCAAGTATAACAAAACACTTACTCAAAGTGGAATGAGGATTTTCAGTCACTATTTCCTACATTTTTGCCATGTTAACTTCAGTTGCAGACGTTGATGGCCTACCAGAGCGAGGCAAATCTTTCATAACATCTCGACCGCTTTTGAACGCTTTGTACCACTCATAAGCACGTGTTTTTGATAAAGTCGATGTACTGTAAGCCTTCTGTAACATTTTCAGTGACTCCGAATGCGGAATTCCATTGGCGATGCAAAATTCAAGATAAAATTTTTATTCGATGTTTTTGTCCATTATGCAATTCGCAATACACACTAAATATGATATAACTTAAAACAGCACTGTATTTAATATAAATAACAGAAGCGACTCAAACTCCGTGCCAAAATGGCGAATTTGGAACCATAAACAAACCATTTCCGATACTTTTTTGACTGAATGTAAAGTGTAGAAGAAAATTGACCCTTTAAAAATTTAAAGATAAAGTGGTACTTAATAAAATACATATTTTGAAATTTACAAACGGCTATGTGGATTTTACAGGGCGGTATTCTTAGACCGATAAGCATACATGTTCATTTTTACCGATATTTTATAATGGCGTGATAACGCACTGACCCTATCGCGGTGGGCAGGTACGGCAGCCTGACGTCGTCGGGCGACCCGGCGGCGGCGTGCTCCACGCAGGTGGCGGAGCTGCACAACGCGCACGTCAACCGCGCGCTGCGCCCCACGCACGCGCGCGTCGCCCACGCACGCGGCCTGCTGCCGCTGCCCGACTACTGCCGCGCGCACCGCGCCTAGCCACCCCTGGGAGTGGAGCGATACCGCCAACCAGACAGATTTATTTATTTACTTGGTATACCCACAGCATACATACTAGGCACTCTTATAAAATATTTCCACAAAATATCATACCTGGTATTCATGTCCATTACATTACACTTTTGTACCTGACACATAACGTTCACCGAAATAAATAACACCTAACATTACAATACTACTAGTAAAATAATACGAAATCAAATAAATCTTAATACTACTTAAATAAGATGGACGTTCGATTGTTCCCTCTGTCTCTGTTTAACTAAGCGAGCCGACCACGGAGCTCGAATAGAAAGAGATAAAGGGAACCGTCTATTATCCATCTCTCTCGTTGTCTATAGTGCAAGATCGGGGCTCTTGTTCACCTAATGCTTATATCTCTATGCGCACGTCGGTACACGACTCCGATACTAATTAAGTTGACCTAGTTTCTGGCGTTGCAGTTGATTTAAAACGCCTTGTAGTTAGTATATATCTAGTAGCGACTCTAGTGAAAGAAAAGTAGGAGTAGAAGAGAAATTTATAAATAATAATTGCAATAAATTATGCCCTTTAAAAAGTATATTTTACATCTCTACGCCAAAAGACACTGCGCGTACGCAAAAACTTCATTAAAATTTACATCTCTCTTGACTTGATGTCTCTCGTGTCATATAACGAATCGTGCCTTTTTTTTTTTTTTTTTTTCCGTGCGGAAATCCCCTCGGATACCACCTGCCGGTGGCATGTCGGACTCGAACCGACTAAAACCGCACGCCTTCGCCGGGTACTAATAGCCGGGGAACCAGGTATACCCTAGAAAGGAAGGCCCTGGTGCAACGAATCGTGCCTAAACGTGAGAAGTACACATTCCATTCTGGATTCTTATTTACTTGAAAAACTATAAATTTTGATAGATACAAAAACAATCCTCACACTTTTTACCTAATGTTACGAGTGCTGCAGTATTAATTGACAATATAATGAAAAGATTACATAACCTGAACTGGCTATTAATTTTCTCGAACGATTTTTTTACGAATTCTCTAACTTACATAACTATATTACATATATTACAACTAAAGTATTTTATTTCAATCAATTATAACTCAATAGTAAAGTGGCCAACTTGTTTCTAGAAAGACCTTTTTTTTTGTATTTTTTTTACGTGTGGAAACCGATGTTTGTCGAAATCGGACCGACTAAAACCACACGGTGTGCCACTCTGCGCCTGTAACAGGAGGTATCCGGGAACAGCTGTTGTTAAGACATCCGGACCCCTCCTAGCGCCTGCCCGCAGCGGCGCGGGCACCACCTTCGGGTACATTCTCTATTTAGGCTACATGCCGTTATGGCAGGTGGAGGGGAAAAGGGCGGCATGTGGCGCCGGTAAGCGCGCCTGCGCCGCTCGGTTCGCCGGCGACGCATTAGGTCCGAGCGAGATGACGTCTTCGCAGAGGGATGCGACCGCGGTTCCCAGGAGGACCTAAAACTTAAAACTGCATCAACCTTAATACGATAAGAACAAAATATACCCATCTAGAAATATTTTAGTTTAGAGCTTTGTGCTAAATTGTGTCGTATCACCGAGAGCTAGAGTTCCTTTTAGTGTGATCGCGATCTATGCTAGCGAGTTAAGGTTGCATTTTAAAACATTTAGGTACCTGAGAGTAATTAGAATGGCCTATATAGATTGAAGTTAGAAAACACATGTTAAACGTTAAAAAAATAATTTAATTATAAAAATTTATTTTACCAAGTAGTAGAAAAATATACACCAATTAAAATAATATGTACATTATATATGTACATATATGAACACATGTATATGCATGTATGTATACATGTATATTTTATATTTACAACTCATGGACGATTAAAAGACTAGTAAATAAATTAATTGTGTTTAATCATTAACAATAAAATCGGCTTGTTTTTCTGTTATCTTTTTAGAAAGTTAGATTTAAATGATTTCAAACGTTTATATACGCCGATTTGAACTTATTTTTAAGTGCAAAATACCTTCGATGTAAAGAAATTAATGAAATAATGTAATAAGGTTAAAAAAACTTTTATTTAACTACGATTTGAGACGTATTTCTAAACGCATAAGACTTCCTTTCCCACATTTTTGCCTACAGAGTGAGTTTGAACTTGCCTTAAATCTTCTTTTTTTATACATATAGCAATACTTCAGTCAGTTATTAATTATAACGTGACTATAAATTTATTTTAAAGTTAATGTATGTATAGTTTAAATTTATTAGTCAATTAAAAAATAGTGTAGCATTAAAAAGTTATTTGACATTTCACTTTAACAGAATAAAAAAAAACTCAGGAATAAAATGGTTTAGTCTTTAGGTATAGACTTTAAATCAGGTAAAAAAAATAACTATTGAATTTTCTCGCTGCCAAAGTCTTAAAACAGCATAGAATTAAAAAAAAGATTAAATGTTATGCAAGCTACGGTGATTGCTTATCATAAAGCGGACCGTTTATTTATTTGCCATCTTAGTGGTGTAGAATAAATTATGTCATAGTAATTGTCATGTAATTGAAAATGGCCTTATTTTGTACATTGAGTTACGACTCATGACGGCTTGTACATATAATATATTTTATTGTATAATAATGTATTTAAAATAATAAAATGTATATAAATTTGATATATCCATGTTATTTTTGATGTTATATATTTTTATTCCCTGGCCTCGATTTTTTTGTTTATGGTTTTAATTTATGTAAATTGTATAAAAACTGTATGGAAATTTTATGTCGACGCTCTATGTAACCTCTGTTGCTCGCGATGTTCTTTTATTATAAATATCAAAATATAAATTTGTCTGTTATCTTTTAAGCCTAAGTCAATTTTGATGAATCTTAGCTATAAAGATAGATTATTGTAAAAAAAATCATCCAAAAACAGTGTTCTTGGAGTTTCTTGGTGACTTTTGTTAATAGACTAGACTAGACTTTTTCATAATTTTTTGTTTATTAACTCAGAACTTCGCCGTTTATGAACTACTTTGGAGAATTATTCTTTTATTTGAAAGGGTATACCTTCCGAATAGTCCCACTCATATTTGAAGCATTAATTTTAAAGTTTAAATTAAAGAATACAGTTTATTTATTTATTATTTATTTTTTTCATGGGTCTTTTAGAAGGCCGTACCTAATAGACTTACCGAACTCTATAAGCACAAATAGTGCCTTTGGTTTTTTCAAAGAACTTGGGAAAAAGACAAATATTATCCTTCAAAATAGTTTATGAAGGACTTTGTTTACAACAGCCTGTTTGGTGAACTGCCTTTGTAATCTTGCCTTTGCCTGGATCTCTTATCAAGACCTTGATGTAAAACTACATTTATTGAGGATTCATCCAAGACAATTACACTCCAAAAATATTTAGAAAAGACAAGCAAAACAATAAAAATCTGATGACAAAGAGATTCATATTATATTGACGAGCCTGTTGGGCTAGTGGTTTGTGACCCTGACTGCTAAGCCGGAGGTCGTGGGTTCGATTCCCACCCAGAACTAATAACTATGTGATGAGTATGATCATTTGTTCTATGTCTGAGTGTAATTTATCTATATATATGTATTTAAATGTATTTAAGTATGTTTATCAGCCACCTGGTCCTGCCTAGTTTGGGATCAGGTTGCCGTGTGTAAGATACATATAGTTAATTTTATATTGGAGTTTTTTAACATGGCAATATCAATTTGGTTAGTTACTATTTCATAACTGGCAATACCATAAGACTGTACCGTGTATTTGTACTGCGAAACAATATTCTTGATCCATCAACGCCTCTCGCGATTACTTGTTAAACTAATGTTGATACTATTTATAAATTTGATATTATAGTAATGTCCATAATGTATCGTGTTGCTAAAAGGGCCACAGTATGTTTTCTGAAAAATAGACTTTATTGTGAGAATATGTAAGTCTCATTTCATCTGAAAGCACTTTGGCCCTTTTAGCACCAAATCACAGATAGTAAAGCTTAGTGCATTTTGTAATTAATGAGGTTTCTTGTATTTTATTATTTTGTTAAAACATCTTAATGAATAAAGATTTTTTCTTTTATTCTGTTTGTATTGTTTATGGCTCGTGGTTTATGGTAAGTGGTAACCGAACACATTGCAAAGTAGAGCTATCCTAGCCAGGTCAGTCTATGGATGGGTGACCATTCATACACTATTACTTATAACGTTATCCATATACCTATACCTATGCCTAAAAACCAGTTTAAATATTTTTGTCTGTCTGTCTGTTCAAAACGGCTTTACCGATTTTGTTAACATTTTACTACCAGGTAGCAGTCTATATGAGGAGTAACTTAGGCTTTTTACTCTCCAAGAAAAACCCTATAAAATTTTGCCCGGTCCGGGAACCGAACCTACTAAGGCAGCGCTTTTCAAATTCCACGCGAACGAAGTCGCGGGCACAAGCTAGTTGTAATTATTATTAATATATTAAGACCGGTTTTGTGTGCGGCCGTAGTATCATTACGGTCAAAGCGGTCCATTCGTGACGCAGCAAGGCTATATAGTCAACTAGCGCAAACTATTGACTTTTCCTATTTATGCAGATAATTTCCACATGTACCGAGGAGGCAGATTAGGGTTTATTGGGTTGCTGTGGAGTGGGTATTGGTTGTTAGCTCCGATTTCCGCATTTAGGCTCGAGAGTGATCCTTTATACGTCGAGGAAAGGTTACTTTTTTTAACGTGTGGAAACCCCTTCGGGCCGCCACCCCACCGGAGTTTGCGGCGGAGTAGTATGTCGGAATCGTACCTACTAAAGCCACAAGGTGAGCCAACCAAGCTACTTCCAGAAGCGCAGACGCCTCATGGGACGTTCACAGGCTTCTAGGAGCGATTTTGTATGATACTTGCCCGTTATGTGGCCACTCCCTCGAATTCTAGCATTACGTGGGTGGCCATTTCTTCTGCTTTCAGACATCCTCTGCAAAGAGGACTGTCCGTCGCATTAATGGTGAATAGTTTTCGGTACGGGGCTAGATGTTCTGTTATAGTTCCTACAACTATTCGTATATCTAGTCTGCGAGACGGTATATATTTAAAAAAAAAAACTAAAACTGTGAAAAATAATATATTTGTAGTAGCACGAATTATAATTAATATTTTTAATAGGTATTTTCTGCAGACTACATTATATATTACGTTGCATTTTGATTTGTACACTCTTTACATCCGTCCGTCATCCGAAGTGAATACGTCTCCTTGTTTCTCCCGCACCCTCTTTCACTCGGTGAAAATCAGCAAAAGAATTGCATAACGCCGGTTTTTTGTGATGCCGTCGTATCACTCCAGGTAAGCCTTGTGCCTTGTATGACGTTCCCACGTTTTTTTTTACAGCAAAATTTATTGATAAAGATTATAAAGACCGATAGATTATATTTAGCCTTGATTTCTTTAGTCACTATAAGTAACATTCATCCCACTAAGTCCCATAGAAAATGTGAAACCATAGGGAAACCATTCTGAACTAAATATGATAGTTACATTGAACCCACCTACTCCTTCTACCGAGGGATTGAGATCTCTGCTCGGGAGTGTCAAACGACAACACATTATTCTACACTCATAACCCGTATACACCTGGAAATAAAATAATTAATCTAATAATAATGTGTTCACACCTCACCTGATCACAAATAGGCAGTGCTTGTACTATGCCAACCAAAACGTCAATTCTCGTAATAAATATTCGATGAAATTTTAGTTCCGAAGTTTTTTCGTAGTACAGTATTAAACTGTCAACATTGTATATGTTGACAGTTATGTGATTACATTGTATCTGCTAGTTTTAGTGATACTTTACAAATTTACTACGAAAATACATTTTATCACATCTCTAACATCGAGAGTAGATCGGAACTAACTTTTATTATGAGAATTGACCTTCTGACTGCTGATAGATATACCTACTGTTATATTACTGCATAACATACATACAGATAAATTGCAAATTATTATCAAGAAAGTTTTTATGTTGTGTTTAGTTGGCATTTATCTCTTTAGAATACAATAATGGTCACCAGATTGGTTACCATAGTACTGGCTCTGGTTTGGAATCAGACGGCCATATTTGAGATGCATCAAGTTATTAATAATAATATTATTAATTTAAGCTATTGAACTTTGGCGAACTTTGAAAATTAAAAACCTCCACTCACATTAAGCACTATATGGACCTGTGCAGCCGATCCAGCGATCATTTCAAATTTCTCTGCATAGAAGAAAGATGCTTTCCTTTGTGCTTTCCGACTAGCAAAGCATAAATTCCCCGTAGCAAAAGTTCGACCCTTCCAATCAGACATTTGTGAATAACTTCTTGATCTTAAACCCTTTTTAATACCTATACCTGAAAGAAAACAAACACGTTTTGTAAGTGAACTGAATTTTAAAGACAAAAACGAATAGTATCCCAGCTCTCGGCTTCAACATCAGACCACTGTCGCACGGGCCCGTTGGTCCAGGCGTTAGTGGCCCTCACTGCTAAGCCAAGGATCGTAAATTCGGTTCTCATTTTGCTATTTAAAATCTCGCTACCACTGGGAGCGGAGTAGACACCATAAATTCGAGCGAAACAACAAGAAAGTTAAATAATATATCAGAAGGCCAATTCTCGTAATAAAAGTTCGGTCACAGTTCAGTTCTGATCAACTTTCGATCTCACAACTGTCATAAAAGGTATTTTCGTAGTAAACTCAAACTCTAATATCTTTATTTCATAAAATCTTTAAACTTATTTGAAATCGTTTCTTGTGTAGACTCTAAAGCCATAGACCGACACACACAATAGCAACAATCTCTGTTTTGTCAAATATTTAGCAAACTAAATATAAACGTATCGAAAATCTTATATGCCTGTGCCGATCTACATCCGCCCATTTCGAAGGGGTTGAGCCTCATGAGAAGAGAGGATAAACAAACTCAAATAGTAAAGTGTTACTAGGACTAGCAGATTATTACCAATTCAATTTTCGGTCACAGTACGATATAAGCACAATACAGTCAACATTGGATGTTTAATACTTACTACGAAAATACTTGTGAGATCGAAAGTTGATCGGAACTGAATTGAGAGCGAACTTTTATTACGAGAATAGGGAATATGCATGTATTTCTTTTATTTTTTTAAACGATTCTACTAGTTATTACATTACCAAAAATAAATATAACACATCCGAAATATAAACCGTTAAGCAAAAAAAAAATTATTAAAATCACTATCATTTTGGGGCAATTTGAACACGTCCATTTTGGCGCGCTTTTTTTGTGACGTCAGATTACACTTTCAGACGAATTCGATGTCAACAACGGAGTGAAGTTCACAAAGTTTGTGAAAGTTAAAAAAGTGAGTGATAAAAATTAACTTATTACCATGGAAAAGTCAATAAAAACTTATTATAAATATTTTGCCGTTCCTTTGTGCCCAAATAATATCAAAACTGCACCTGACAAAGTATATTCAGTCATTGTGTTGAGTCTTTCTACACGGGAATTTAATAATTTAACACTGAAAACGTATTAGTTATTAACTTAAAATGAAACAAATAATCACCAGAAACCAAATATTACAAATACACACAACTTGTTGACACTCTTGACAGTGTAGGTTGACGTCACGTTTTATTCAACCAATAGCGTTGCGTTTTAGAAAATTTATTATATAATTAAATTATAACAAATTTCAAAAATAATTGTATGGGAATCTTTTTTAGAAATAAAAATTACAAATAAAAATATTTTGTCCATTTTGGTGTGACGTGCATATTCCCTATTGGCCTTCTGTAAATAATTAATATGCACTGCAAGGATGGCATTGTGGTTTAAACGGTCGCCACACCGCTACCTATTGAGTTTTGTGGGTGCGATCCCCACATAGGCCACCACTTTGTATGATCCACAAATTGTTATTCTGAGTCTGGGTGTTCTTGGTGTCCGTTCCATGTATGTTTGTAAACGCCGCAACACACAATATATATTTCTAATGAGGGAGTTGTCGAACACCAGTCACCGGACGCGCTCGCTGTCGAGAGCGAGTAAAAGTGAAATAAACTTACACTAAGCCCTTACGCTGAAAATGAAATACGAATGCGTGACTGTCGGTAATAATAACTCACGAGATCCTCCATCAGTCAGTTGAAAAGTCTCGGGATACGCTTTAGGGATTTTATGAGCACTGATGACGTTGATAATCCATGAAGCGTAAGGAAACACGTCTATGTACAGAGGTGGTTCGTCGTTAAGGCGGCGCCGCATCGAGCGATGGGAGCAGGGGGCCCCTCCCGCCGCTAGGCCCATCAGCTCGAAGCGCCCTTCCATGGTGTGAGTGATGATAGGGGCGCCTGGACGTACACCGCAACCTGAGCTACATAGCACATGTGTAACCCCCTCACTGCTCAATTTCTGAGAACACAAACAAACAAATCTATTTATTTATTATTTTTTCTGATATTCACTTTTTTTTTACCTAGTTTGGCAACGGAGTCCAACTCAAAATCGTATGTTAACTTATACCAGTTTTATGTTGAACGAGTTGTATTTTTATTGGTACAATAAATATTAACGCAAGCAATGTTAAAGCTAGTAACAATATATTTAGAAAACGTTACCGATTTCATTCGGTGTCGTTTACACTCTCTATGGGTGTACAATTTCACAGTTTTCTTCCCCATTCTTTCAAAGTCGAAGTCTCTTGGTACGGCTGTGGAAGGAGCGATTTCGATTTTAGACATAATCTCGTGTGCCATATAAACGATACGTCAATGACGTCAGCAATGGACGTGTTTATAGGAACCTTCGTGTTAGAATATCGTCACCGTCAGACTGATCGGATCCTAGAGGACTTAAGAAGCACCGTCCAGTCATTTCAGGCAGGGTATAACACTCCAGGTCTTCAAACCACTAAGGGACGTCAATTTACTATGTCAAATACAACTTAAGACTTGCTAACATTGGTTTTGGGTGTTTTTGTGTCATGCTTCGGCATATAGGCCCATTACGGGATTAAGCAGTAGGTACGGGATAAAAAATTGTTTACTAAACATACTTTAAATGAACTTTAATTACAGAATATAAACAATAATTAAGAGTTATAAATAAAAAATTTGTAAGTACTTACAGCTTATGTAGTCTACTAGATACACGTACTTGTTAACTTTCTTTCTGGTGCGCTCTGATATACTTGGAAGGCAGATTGGCACCATGTAATCTAGAAGAGAACAATATCTCTTATCTATCAATCGTAAATTCTCCGTGTGGTGACAGATTAAGAATACAGAGTGTCACCACGCCTATTCATCTGGACTATAGTGCTGGACATAGGCCTCTCCTAAAACGGAGGTTTCGGCTTACTATACCACGATAGCCAGACGGGTTGGTATAGGGTTTGTGTCAAGTTTTCTTTCTCTTTGCAGTGCTGTTGTCCTGCGTAGTTTGATCCCTTAGTCGACTCTTACGACACCCACGGGATGAATAGGGGTGGTGATACTTCGTAATAATAATCCGTCACCACACGGATTAAATAAAAAGGTACTAATATGTTTTTAAAAGCATTATTGTATTTACTCACTTGATTTAACGGGTCGTAGTAGTTTAATCAAAGCTAGGCTGTTTCCCACACCGAATCTAATAATAATTAAATATTTAATCAGTTTTATTATTATGAATCATTTATGAGTAACTAAGTTGTAAAAACTTAACCAATTTTAAGATTCAAATTGCAATTATCTATAACTAACTTTCTATATAATAATCATTTTTCTTCTGTGGTTCAAGTACCAAATGATAACTTATATTAAACCCAAGCCAGTTTATCTATTTGTAATCCTATAAAATCCTTAAAAAATCAACACTCGTAATTCATATTATTTGAAACTATCGGACAATCCGAAATAATTTCATATCACAATCATATCTTTGTGTCCGTTTTATAAATACATATGTGTTAAAGTCCCTCACGAGACAGGATACATGTCCTTATTCCTAACGCGGGAGTTGTCTTTAAAAAAAAAACTAAAACCGCTACAGTAAATACCCGTATTCAGTTCTAAATCCTGTAATTGATTTTCTCAACATCCTTATTATACACACTACGTATTAATTTAATCGTTTAGAGTAACGTCTCTTAAAATCAAACAAGTTGATAGTGGCTCCCATCAATCGAACTGTCAGGTCGGACAACCTAATATTAAGGTATAATATTTAAAGGGGTAATATATTTATGACTACTAAAATAATTATAATTAATCAATCAAATAATTAAAATAAAAAATAACGGACAATATTTTATTTCTTTTATACACTATTAAATCAATTTTAAAATTATGAACAAATATAAGTAACAATATTGATTATAATTAATAATATAATAATACATGACATGTATAGTTACCATGATTTTATCCTACTATATCCATTGATATAATACTTACTTAATACGTGTTGTTTTAACTCAATGACTATATCAATTAGAAACAAAATATTCTACTGTATATGTTTTATCTTCCTCTCTCCCAAACAAACTGTGCTGCGCCCGACAGGGTCCATAATTGTTGCCGCTTGATTGTTGTCACCTATGTATTCACATTATGGAAGCAATAAAGTATTGAGTATGAAAACAAATACCTGGAAAACTCAGGATGCGGTGTGATATCCAGGGGTGGCACTTCAAGGTATGCCCGAGGACACTTCTGGCCGTCCCTAATCTCCTTACGGGTCAATCCACATTCTACCTCGTCACGTTCGTAATCACCAAACACGACGTTACCCCTGGAATAATATATTAAATGAGTTTATGCTTTTGTAGAAGTACATTGCTAGCTTCTAATAGTGAAACACAATTCGTCCATCGAAGAAAACAGACAATGTATAGTAGTATTTGCAGAGTTCAAGAATGCGTTAGTACGCCACAGGTGTGCGAGGCGTGGTTGGCGGGGGATAGGGGGAGATGCTCCCAATCCTCATCTCAGGCTCTTCATCTCTCTCATCTCATTCTTTAGATATGCGAGAATGCAGACATGTAGGTGTTACACAATATGGCACAGCCGGGGCGGATCGCTTATTGTGGATAAAATACACCTAGACACAGAACAAATTATCGTGCTCATCACGTAATTAATTGTGCTGGGTGGGAATTGAACCCATGACCTCTGGCTTAGCAGTCAGGGTCTCTAAAATCTAGACCACGCCAGTCACAATTAGGTAGGTATTACAAAAAAAAATGTAACAAAAAACTTGACATTACATTTTGTAGTTTTTGGGCAGATGCATTAAGTCCGTGGCGGTACCTACGGCGAATTGTTTTTGGACAAGGATCACGCGTGGTGCCTTACTGTGGTGGGGAAGTCCCGTAGTCACTGCAATTAAGCCACAATTGAGAAACTTCGAATCTAATGATTGAACTGCATTCGATAGTATTTCAATCTTAGATGAATTCCAGTGAGTGAAAAGTATTTTTTTCTCATGTTCCATGTTCACATTAATTAACAAGGTAATTATTAAAAAAAAACAAATAACACGACTGAAGAAAATGTATAGGTAGTTATAATTTACAAACCGACTAAATAGGGCCCAGATACAGGTTTGGGGAGGATCTGAAATCACATGGTCCGTGGTTTCCCCAGAGTAGGGAGCCTGAGGCTGGTTTTTAATCAAGTGGTTTAGTGGCCCCAGGAGGCGGTGTTTCGTAGATATTTTCCCCCCATCGACGAGAAATGGGAATGTACCTAGATGTATTTATTAGATATATATGTAAAATCCCCTGACATATATGTTCCTACTATGGGAGTTGAATTTCAAAAAAATAATGTAATTAAAATGAAATTGAAATTATTATATAAACAAATAAAGAAAATACTAAAGATATAGATAATTTGTGTGGTGGCTAGTAATTGATGTTAGTTTCAAACCATGTATGTACTGCACGAAGCCCAGCCATGGGAACGTATGCTCCTTGACAACTCCATCTGCAGGCTTCAGGGTGAAATCATCGTGACATATGTAGAAATCTCGGGTTTCGCACTTCGTTGGACGAAAACATACTGAGTACAAATATTAACCATTTATTAAATCTATCTATATATTGTAAAACAAAGAACCCCGCTACGTCTGTCTGTTCGCGATAAACCCTAAAACTACTGAATGGATTTTAATGCGGTTTTCACCAATCAACAGAGTCATTTATGACAAAGGTTTAGGTATATAATTCGTAAAGATTTTATGTAAATTAATTGAAATATGAAAATAATTTGTTATAAAAGTAGGAAAGGACCTTTCAGTTTACAGGTGCGTATCTAGGACGAGTTATCTATATATATATCTAAGAGATTTCCACGTATATAGTCACTCATCACGATATCTCTGGAACCATTAGAGATAAAGACTTGAAATTTGGTAGGAGTATTCTTTTCACCGAGTAGAGGTCAGCTAAGATCGGATTTTAAGAAATACAAAAAAAAATTAATTAAATAATGTAAATGGAAAAACAACGTTTGCAGGGTCAGCTTGTATAATATAAGATTAAATAACACTTCGGCAACCTAACATTTTTCCCATGTAAAAGAGTATGATATTATGCGTTCTTGCAACTTTATTCAGCCGTGATCATGATCCGTATACATCGAAAGTAAAAAAGTTTAACTTTCTAATTCTAATAGGATAACAAAAGCTTTTACGATGTCGCAACAAGTAATAAAATCAATTCAGTAGTTTTAGAGTCGCGTACACGCAAAAAATATTCAGTGTCAATTCGACTGTCTGTCAATCGCTTGCACACCATGTAAGTCCACCTATAATCTCGCGTTCCAAATAGAGCTTTCCTATGTTGCTTTTCTTTCCGTGCTATCGTGATGGCCATTAAGAGCGTGTCGAAACATAGCATTATACGAGTCGACTTGCTGTAACCACGATATCAAAGGTAATCATTATTTATGTACTTTAATAAGGCTACAACAACAATTAATAAAAAATAATGAAAAATAATAGTGAACATGGGGTTCACTATTATTTTTCATTATTTTAATTTATATTATATATATATTATATATATTATTATTTTCGATAAGAAAGGTGGTCTGAGGCGTTTTAGTAAAACGCGTACGATGATATGGAACCCTTCGTTTGTGAGTCGGACTCGCCCTCGAATTTGTTTTTCTACCTTACAGAGACCTAATGTTGCAAGGCTACAGCAATTGACCCTCATGTTCAAATGTTTATTTGCGACCTAAATGGTATAAAAGTAACTTTAAGTGAAATAAAATAGAATACTAACGTGTACAAGTGGTATACACAGCGACAATAGTTCTCACGTACATTTTACAGCCTCTCAATCAAACTTACTAAACTACACTGTTAGTTTAATCTCGAAGATTTGTATTCATTAGTTTGTTGACAGAAATGGAATGTCATAATATTGTTTGTTTGAAAATAGATTCCTACAACAGTCGTTGGCGCCTTTACACAGATTGTATAAAAGTTTTGGTGTAACAGATACGACATTCGATCAAAACTGTTATGCCTACAATCTAATAAAGTCTGCACGGCTGATGTATCCAGTCGTTTGAGCGGGCACCTCGCCGCTTCCAACTAGCTGACTGTTGTGGGTTCGACCAGATTTGGGACACTGTGTAACCACACACCACAACCACACCACTGTGTGTCCACAAATTTTTGTAATGAGTCTGGGTGTTCTTTGTGTACGTTTCATAAATGTTTTTGGTCCCCAGTGACACATGATATATTCCTAGTGCGGGACTTGTCTTTTAATAAAGAAAGATAAAAACAAACTTAGTTAAGCCAAATAAGAATAATAACTAATATGTAACAATATGTCGGTCGCCTGGTCTAATGATGATTCTAAATATATCCATATCATCGATAAACTGCACTTAGACACACAAAAAGTGATGAACCTCATCACACAATATTTGTCCAGGGTGTCGTGGGAATGGAACCCACATCCTCGAGCTCAGCGAGATGAAATGATGTTTTAAAAATCATTTGCTTGTGCGACAGCACATAATTTCTTTATATGTATAGTGTCCTACATAAAGAAATTCTGTCTTAAAAGTCTAGGACCGTCGATTTAGATGGCAGTACGATAGATTATATATTAATTTTATCCGTGTGGTGACGAATTAAGAATACGGAATGTCACCACCCCATTCATTCCGTAGGTGTTTTAAGAGCCGACTGAAGTAGCAAACTACGCAGAACAACAGCACTACAATGAACAGCAGAACAACAGCCATGATGGCTCGTCGGTCGTCCCGTCTGGCTTTGCTGCCGTGGAGGGGCTCAAGATGGTCATCGTCGATTAGGCACGGCTGCTTCGGGAAGTACCCGCTAAGTTCTCGGTCGCTAGAAGGGAATTTAGTTTCGCCTGTCACGCCTGCGATTGCAGTGAGAAAAAAGAAGCACACTCTGGCAATTTGTCCGGCTTGGGCGTCGCAGTGTTGGGCTCTTATTGCAGTTATCGGAGAGAATCTCTCGTTACCGATTGTCATACGCTCCATGGCCGTGTGCGTTTCAATTGCTACGCCACGTAATCGCAACAGAAAAAAAAACTTGGCCAATGAGTTGTCGAAATTTGTCAAAATCGAAGGGAACAAATCAAAAACTTGTCAAAGTAGAAATATAGAAGTTATAAAGGTTTTAAGATTGCCGCGCGAGCGAAACGTGGAGATCTCAGCAACTACTTAAGTTAGAGATCTAATTCTTTTTGTCAATTTAAGACTAAATTTGCCAAAATTAATCGAAAAAATTATGAGCTATAGTTCAATATTTAACGAAATATTCACCTTGGAAGTTATGGCCATCGTACACTTGACGGCCAAAGGGGTTTCCACTCGTAAAAAAGGGTTTGTATCAAGTTTTCCTTCTCTTTGCAGTGCTATTACTCTGCGTAGTTTGCTTCCTTAGTAGGCTCTTACGACACCAGTGGGATGAATAGGTGACTCTCCGTATTCTTAATTAATCTTAATCCGTCACCACACGGACAAGTGAGATTCATGTAGTACAAAAAAGGGTAGGTAATGTTTAGGTAGGTGATAAGTCTACTATAGGCAATAGAAGTGAAACTGCAGTATCTCAACCCAAAGAGGGTAACACCCCCTTGTATCGGTACGGTTGAATTCTCCCCGTATTTGCATCATTTTTCATTGATGCTCCTCTCCTTTTGGCCGTAGCGTGACGTTATATAAACCTAATATCCTTTCTTCTTAAATGCGCTATCCAACATTATAATTTTTTCTCATTTAGAACCAGTAGTTTTTGAGAAACAAACAAACAAACAAACTCTTCAGCGTTATAATATTAATATAGATCATGAAATAAAACATGTTATTATTGATTATGTGTACATTTATTTAAATAATAATAAAATATTTAATTTGTTTAAATTACTGGAATTCACATTGTTGTCGATTAGTTGACTTAATAACTATTGTTAGAAATGACAATGATGACGTCAAATATAATATGTACAAATATTATATACAAGCTGGGACCCGCGGTGTTACCCGCGTTTGTTGTTATATCCGCGGGCAACGCCGCGGGGCGAAGCTGGTCTAAAAAAAGTAGCCTAAGTTACTCCTTATGTCATCATCTATCTGCCAGTGAAAGTCCCGTCAAAATCGGTCCAAAAAAATGTTATTTTATATTGTAGTATATTTTATATTTATAATTAAGCTGGATTGTAATTGTAGTGAATGCAATTGACTAAAATTGTGATGCAAATCTAAACAAAAACGGAAAAGATAGTTGCTAAATGTTTTTAACAATATTTTAATAATATAAAATGGATCCTGCATCTGCCAAAAAACTGGAGGCCAATTCTCGTAATAAAAGTTCGGTCACAATTCAGTTCCGATCAATTTTCGATCTCGCAACTGTCATAAAAGGTATTTTCGTAGTAAAATATTAAAATATTACTAAGACTAGCAGATTACCGATTCAATTTTCGGTAACAATAAGATATAAATACATTACAGTCAACACAGATTGGCAAAAGTTTGTAATCTATAAAAATGTGAGATATTATGTTCAAGAAAATAAAGCTTTTATTTATTCATTTCATAGAATATTCAAAATCTAAGGTATCGTCTTCTGACGAAGAGGTGGAGTTGTATCCCCAAGCTTCAACCTGGAACCGGTACTGATTCTTGATGAGTAGCAACGGAATAATGACCTGTAACAATTTAACATTTAGCACTCATTTTATTATTCTGTGCGTCTGCTTTTTCTAGTATGAGAAGTCTTATGATCATCATTGTGTCCTATGTCTTGACAATGCATATGAATGTCCTTAAAATGTGTCACGGTAATCGGTTGAGTACCTTCATAGTTAAGGAGTAATGAACAAACTCTCATTCGCCTCTAATTGAGCTTATTCTAGTTTTAATTTTCGTCCACGAGCATTTTTTTTACCGCGGTATATAACAAAAACACATGGAGTGCTCATCAATTTTTGACACATTTAGTCTTCAATTGGCAAAAGAATTAGATCTCTAACTCAGTATATAGTTGCTAAGATCTCCGTGGCGGCGCAATCCTTGAAGGATTTCGTTCGCGCGGCCCCTTATAACTTCTTTATCATTTGTCAAATTTTGGTTTGTTCTATGTCAAATTTTGATTTGTTCCCTTCGATTTTGACATATTTCGACAAATTTTTGGCGAAGTTTTTTTTTTGTTTTGATAACGTGGCGAAGCATTCGACACGCATTGTATTAAGATTTACAGGGCAGTTATGAAAATTGGCATACAAGTGAAAAAAGGGTTTGTTTTAAAATGCAATAAAAATAACAACTAATAAATAGACAATTTTCTAGAAAAATCACATGCTTCATTTTACTTTGAGCGCCTATCAAACACCACTGAATAATTTAAAATATAAAATAGATATATTTTTTTCTTGAATGTGATAATAATATTTAGACAATGTACTCGTAGTATCTAAATATGGCGCAACTTGAGGTGGAACTTGGGAAGATTAGGTGGCATATCCTAGGGCTATGTGAAGTCCGAAGAGAGGGGGAGGACACCATAACCCTCGAGTCAGGCCACCTAATGTACTTCCGCGAGGGAGACCAACAATCCCAAGGTGGGGTTGGGTTTCTGGTGAATAAGTCCCTATCTGACAACGTTGTGGAAATTTCCAGTGTGTCGAACAGGGTAGCGTACCTCATTATCAAGCTCACCGAGAGGTATAGCCTCAAGGTTGTGCAAGTGTACGCACCGACCTCGGCACATTCGGACGACGAGGTGGAGGATATGTACGATGACATATCGAGGGCCCTCCACTTCACAACTAAGACCCACTACAACGTTGTTATGGGTGACTTCAACGCTAAAGTGGGAGTACAGAATTGCAGCGAATCGGTAGTAGGATCCCATGGATTTGGAAGCAGGAATCATAGGGGGCAAATGCTGGTCAACTTCCTCGAACGGGAGGGGCTGTTTTTGATGAATTCTTTCTTCAAGAAACAGCCCCAAAGGAAGTGGACGTGGCAAAGCCCCGACGCTATGACTAGAAATGAGATCGATTTCATCATGACGGATAGAAAGCACATATTCAGAGACGTCTCAGTGATCAATAGGTTTAATACCGGTAGTGATCACCGACTTGTCCGGGGCTCTCTGAATATCAACTTTAAGGCGGAACGTGTCTGTTTGATGAAATCCAGGCTCCGACCAACTCGGCTCCAGGCCATGACAGGATCTGAAACGTTCCAGTCAAAACTGGCAAACCGATTCGCTGCCGTGGAAACCACAATCGACGTAAACCAGAACCTCAAAAATGTGGTTCAGATCCTCAGGGAAGAAGGTATGAGATTTTGTGAAATGCAGCGTAAGGGCAGGAAGTCGAAGCTTTCAGAAAGGACCCTAGGGCTGATGAAGAAACGACGTGAAAACCCACCTGTCACTTTGTCGGCAAAGCGGACTCTAAACCGAGAGATCAGTAAACTCGTACGACACGACCTCCGGTGCTCCAATACTCTTTCAATTGAAAGAGCGATCGAGCAAAATCGGGGGTCAAAAGTGTTCGTACAATCTCTTGGAAGAAGCCACCTGACAAAGTTGACTACAGAAAGTGGAGAAGTCGTTGCTTCGAAGCCGGCAGTCCTTTTGGAAGTGGAAAGCTTCTATGGCCGGTTATACGCTTCGCATGCATCTCGACCTGATCCCGAAAATGAGGACTCTAGAGCCACATTAACACGTCACTACACCGAAGACCTGCCAGAAGTTAGCATTGACGAAATCGAGATGGCTCTTGGACAGCTGAAAAATGGAAAAGCCCCTGGAGAGGATGGCGTTACAACAGAGCTGCTTAAGGCCGGGGGTAAACCCGTACTAAGGGAGCTCCAAAAGCTCTTCAACGCTGTCCTGTTTGAAGGGAGAACTCCAGAAGCGTGGAGTAGGAGTGTGGTCGTCTTGTTCTTCAAAAAGGGTGACAAGACCAGGTTGAAGAACTATCGACCCATATCCCTTCTAAGCCACGTCTACAAGCTGTTTTCGAGAGTCATCACGAACCGTCTTGCGCAAAGACTCGACGAATTCCAACCACCGGAGCAAGCTGGGTTTCGGAGCGGATATGGCACCATAGACCACATCCACACAGTGCGGCAGATTATACAGAAGACCGAAGAATATAATCAGCCCCTGTGTCTAGCATTCGTGGACTATGAGAAAGCCTTTGACTCGATCGAGATCTGGTCTGTTCTGGAGTCCCTGCAGCGTTGCCAAGTAGATTGGCGATACATCCAAGTGATGAGATGTCTCTACGAAGCCGCCACCATGTCCGTCCAAGTACAGAATCAGCAAACAAGGCCCGTACCATTGCATCGAGGAGTGAGACAAGGGGACGTTATTTCCCCGAAATTGTTCACAAATGCAATGGAGGACATGTTCAAGACGCTGCACTGGAAAGGGCGTGGCATCAATATCAATGGCGAATACATCTCTCACTTGCGATTTGCAGATGACATCGTCATCATGGCAGAGACGTTGCAGGACCTACAGCAAATGCTGAATGACTTAGCTGACACTTCTGTACGCATCGGCCTACGGATGAACTTGGATAAAACCAAGGTCATGTTCAACGAACATGTACTACCGGAACCGATTGCGGTACACGGTGCCGTTCTCGAAGTTGTTCAAAATTATGTGTACCTCGGGCAGACATTGCAGTTAGGTAGAAACAACTTCGAGGACGAGGTGAACAGAAGAATTCGGTTGGGTTGGGCAGCGTTTGGGAAGCTACGTCGAGTCTTCTCATCATCGATCCCACAGTGCCTTAAGACGAAAGTCTTTAATGAGTGCGTCCTACCCGTCATGACATACGGAGCTGAAACGTGGACACTTACGGTACGGCTGGTCCACAAGTTCAAAGTCGCTCAACGTGCTATGGAAAGGGCTATGCTCGGCGTTTCTCTAAGGGATCGCATCAGAAATGAGGTGATCCGGCAGAGAACTAAGGTCACCGACATAGCGTACCGGATCAGCAAGCTGAAGTGGCAGTGGGCTGGCCATATTAGCCGCAGAACCGATAACCGTTGGGGAAAACGAGTTCTTGAGTGGAGACCGCGTCTCGGCAAACGTAGTGTAGGACGCCCACAGGCCAGGTGGAGTGACGATTTGCGCAAGATGGCTGGCAGGAGCTGGATGCGAGAAGCCCAAAATCGATCTAAGTGGCGTGCAATGGGAGAGGCCTATGTCCAGCAGTGGACTGCGATAGGCTGATGATGATCTAAATATAGTAAAAACTGAAGTTCCTGTTTTTTTCAAAACCGACATTATTCTACTATCATGACGAAATGATTATTTCATTTACTTATTAAAAAAATCCTGACATATATTTTTGTTGGGTGAACAATTAAAAAACATAACATAGAAAAAAAAACATTGTATAGAAGCACAAGAATCATTATCATTCAGAAATGTAATTCCCGCAAAATGTTTCGACAAAGTATCGATTCCCGGAAAGAATTAATATATATAATATTCATAATTTTGATAGTAATAGCACCCAAAATTCCGATCTATGATTATAACGCAAGACCTTACACTTCACGAGAAACTGTTGTAACTCTACAGGAGCTGCAGTCAGAAACCATACGTCATCCTCCGTACTCCAGACCTTGCTACAATGGACTACCATTTTTTTCGTAATTTGGACAATTTTCAATATGAGAAAAAATCGTCCCAGGAGGCAGTACAAAATGCTTTTACACAGTTTGTTGAATCTAGATCCCCAGAGTTCTATCGTTAAGGCATAAATGAACTTCCGTTTAGATAGCAGCAGTGTATAGTGCAGTAATGAGGGTAAATGTTTTGATTAAATAAATATGTTACATCTTAGAAAAAAACCGGTCAGGTACGAGTCGAACTCGTGCGCCGAGGGTTCTGTATCTACCTAGATTTTACGTAGATTTCCGCGAAAATTTTTAAGTACCAAAATTTATCTTAATTTTCAACTTTTTTTATTTTTTGGAATTATTTCTTTATTTGTGCTGTAAGACGTTTCTTTTTGCCAAATTTCGTGATTCTAGGTCAACGGGAACTACCATACCCAAAACCTATAGGGTACTTCCGGTTGATCTAGAATTGACAATTTTGGTTAAAAGCAAGGTCTTACAGCACAAGTAAAGTGAAAATCCTGAAAAATTCCAAAGGTGAAAATTAAGGTAACTATTGGTACTTACAAGTTTTCGCGAAAAACGAAATTTGCCCATATCTTTTTATCGTGTTGACTCAGAACTTTGATTTTTATAAATCTAATAGCGACCATATACCTCAATATCTGGTAAAATTTCAACTTACTAGGTCTACCCGTTCCTGAGAAAATCGGTGGTGACACACGGACAGACGGACAAGAAAGTGATCTTATGAGGGATTCATTTTTTACCTTTTGAGGTACGGAACCCTAAAAAAACGAGTTTCAATTTTTCAGTGTAAATCTGCAATTTCATAATGTATTCCCTAATATTTGGAAAAAATACAAGTTTGTATATCAAGAGTTTGGTTACCATGGTAGGCTCTGTGACAATTTATTGTTATTATTATTATTTTAAGTGAGGTTCATACCCTAGATGCTGGTCTGTTAAGGTCCAAAACTTTTGGACTGGTAAATTGATACGGCATGCCCACCTTCACGCAGACAATAGAAGTTAAGGGTTCTGCATGTATCTGTCAAGAAAAGTTTAAAATTTTTAAAGTTCTTTGAGTAAATTTGACGCCCGGATGGCGTAGTGGTTCGATTCCCGCTCAATTCAAACATTTGTGTGCATGAACATTTAATGTTTGATTTGATTTGGGTCTTTGTATAATAAGTATGTATTCACAAAAAAAAAGTATATATGTATTTATATCAGTTATCTAGTAGCCATAGTACAGGCTCTGCTTAGTTTGGGACTAGATGGCGTTGTGTGAATGTGGTAGAATATTATTTAATCAATCAATCAATATTTATTTGCCAACCAAGTGTACATGAATGGTCCTAGAATTATAATTTGTCCCAACTTAATAGCTTTTCCAGGCATTACAAAATGAAGTTGTAAGTGACATACTTGTACTATTAGTTTTACTCATAATGAATACAATCTACTACGAAACATGGGCTAAACGTGAAAACAGGTTCTCTGGTAGTAAGTGGCTACCGCTAGTCATCATCTTTTGCGGCCACTGCTGAATGTAGGCCTCCCTAAGGAGCGCCAACTATTCAAGTTTTGGTCTGTCCGCATCCATCCGCTGCCAGCCTCTTCCAGATTATTGTTAGTGGTGATAAGAGGCTTATAAAATTACTCGCGACCAATAATTACATCACGGAATAGAGAAGGAAAACTTGAAACAAACGCTATAACAACCCGTCTGGCCAGCGTGGTATAGTAGGCCAAAATCACCTTTCTAAGAAGAGGTCTATGTGCAGCAGTGGACTATTACAGTCTGTCGATGATGACGATGATGTCCGTGTAGTGACGGAAGAATACGGAATGTCACTACCCCAATTCATCCGTCAGGGTGTCGTAAGAGCCGACTAAGGGCGCAAAACAACGCAGGACACCAGCACTGCAAAGAGAAGGAAAACTTGACACAAACCCTATACCAACCCGTCTGACCAGCGTGGTATAGTAGGCCAATACCTCCTTTCTATGGAGAGGCCTATGTCTAGCAGTGGACTAGTAAAGGCTGTTGATGTGATAATGATGACGATGATTGTGAATAGTATCGAGCCTAGAGTACATAGCGTTTGAAATTTTCATAAATTTCATTTTAGATTTTCTGAGACTGTTTTTTTTTTTATGGAATAGGGGGCAAACGAGCAGACGGGTCACCTGATGGAAAGCGACTACCGGCGCCCATGAACGCCTGCAACTCAGGAGTCACAAGCGCATTGCCAGCCTTTAAGGGAGATAGTAATAATCCTCATTAGGACTACGGAACCCTATAACATAGAAAACAAAGAGCTGGCTTTATACAATTATACGTACCTCTAAATAATATGACGTGTATGCAAAACTATCTTCCTTCGGTTTAATGGAGAAGATCTCGTGGTAGAACTTAAACATGTCGTCGGCTTTAACTCCTCTGTCGAAACACCGGATCCCACCCATGTACCAATGGCCCAACCAGTGGTGCCCAAAGCCTTTAAAGCCGCCGTAATCATTATCAGTACGCGGCATCACGTATCCTGTTGATTTGATTATTTATGAATTAATTTGTTGGAACTAATTCTGTAAGGATATATTCATGATATACTCGTAAAAGCTTATTTAACTCAAGGTACTTTTGAAATTTGTTCGACCCCTAGTAGTGTTTATTTATTTGGGATAACAAACAGTAGTATAATATAAAATTATTTAAATATACATACTATAATCAAGTATAAATGTGCTTATTAAACATACTACAAATGGTATTATCCACTTATAAACAATGTTTTATTAAAATAAGGAAGAGAATAATAATTCGTTGTAAATAGATAAATAATTAATTAAAATAGATAAAATAGGTGAAAAACGATTTAAGTTAAACAGTTTTATTGAAAAGAAAGATAATAATCATTTAGATAATGTAATAAAAGTTGAAAAATAACTAGGTACGTAGACACCAGTCATCATACCACTGTAATCATCAATCTACGGCTTTAATCCTAACCTGGATCTAAATAGAGTTTACATGATATGAGTGGTTAACTGTTGATAGAAATTTCACGCACACAACGATTTTATTTCAATCCTAGCCAGGTCAGTCCATGGATGGGAGAACCCTCCGTGCTTCGTAGAGCATGTTAAGCCGCTGATCCCGGTTGCCATACGAACATCTGTGGCAATCGTTAGGGGTAGTTGGGGGTTTGGTTGGAGCCCTAAAAAGTTCGACAACAGTCTATCTACAGAATTTCGATATCGCTTAGTAATTGGGTTATGGAGATCTAATGGCAGTCCCTCCACGTAAAAGTTTGAAAGCTGACCCAAACCTAGCTTGGGAATATGAGGATAATGATTTGTACAATAAAAAATGACAGAATTTCAAACTAGGCAGCACCTGTGCTTTGGTATCAGACTGCTGATAAACATACTTATATATTTCTAAATACATATTATAGATAAACCACACCCAGACACAGAACAAATCATCGTGCTCATCACACAAGTATTTGTCCTGGGTGGGAATCGAACCCACGTCCTCCGGCCTAGCAGTTAGAGTCACTAACCACTAGACCAACAGGCCCGTCGATTATTGAGTTATAATTATCGAGAAGTATTAAAAACACAGACTTACCGAAGGGATCATCTTTGGCGAAGGCACCAATGGGTTTACCAGTGATGGCAGCAGTAATCCATGGTACATAAGGAAATATCACGATGTGTTGCGGGGGCTTTGGAGGGCGGTGATTACGGAGAGGGTCAGGGCATTGGGAGCCTCCTATATTTGACAGAAATTGATAAAATATACCATAATGTCTGTACCCTGACAAGCTTCGCTGTGGTACATTGTGGTTGGATTGATGAGAGATGACGAAACCTATCGCGAAAAATAGATAAATCTAAAACTTTCTGCACTGATTGAACTCAGATTTTGACACGATAATATAGAACCCACTTCAAAGATTTACGTTATCAATTTTACGCGTTAGTTTTGTTCGTCATTTCTTTATTATTCTATATACATATATAGTTTACGGTAAAGCGCACATTTTACATTTTGCGCGAGGATGCGCCACGCCGATTCACATAATCTGTACATGCTTACGTCATTAAATTTAGTGTTTATTTAGCAACTAAGTATACAGAGCGGTTTTATTTCGACACTTTTAACTCAGCATACCTATCAATTATTATAATTTCTATCATACATCTGTGTAAGGTACCACGGTACCCATATTTGGTTTTTTTGGTCCTTCGAGCGCTCTACAGTACAGTATCGTGTCCTTTTCAGTGCAGCTGATACATATATCAGCTGCACTGAAAAGGACACGATACTGTCCATACCAGAGTATATACGCTCACGTGTCCGTGAACATGATATAAAGATATGAATAAGTACTGTGTAGTTATTGCGTTACAGTGACTATCATCTTGGATTACATTACAACCTCGAGATCTAGCATACTGGGTCGAGTTCCTGGGACATCATTAACAGAATCTAGATCAGAAATAACATCAACATCAATAAAATCAACTAGAAATTATTTACCTGTGGCAAGTGACACTATTGACCAATGGCCTGTGTGCTCATGGACGAGTGTGGGTGCACCGGAATGGAAGCCACATCCAGTGGTACACATCATTCGGTTCCGAGTTATCAACGTTTCATTCTAATGAGAAAAAAATACATCATTTTGCGCTCCTTGACTTAGAATGCCCAAGGGATTAACAGTGCCCGTCAAGGTCACTGCACTCATTGATTAGGAATCCCCATTAGGTCCGAAGATCGTCGATCATCCCCTATTCGCGTTGTGGTTGTCGTAAAACCCGACTAAAGGTCATAGCTCATTACAGCTCGACCAGCTCCGCCTGTGGTTAGTATTCTTTGTATGAGAGTGGTGACGGAATAAGCCTACGGAGTGTCACTACCCGTATTCATCCCGTGGAAGCTGTAAGCTGAATCCCGTAAGAGCTGACTAAAGGAGCAAACTATGCAGGAAAACAGCACTGCAAAAAGAAGGAAAACTTGAAATAAACCCCACACAAACCCATCTGGCCGGAACGGATCGCGCGCTGTCCGCGAGTAGTTTGCGCGCGAGGGCCATACATCGGTGAGTAACGATTCCTAACAAACTACTAAATAAATAAAGATGCCTCAGAGAAGTAAAGATTAAAAAAAAACGAATATTTATCCGACAACGCAATGTCGACTCGACTTGTTATAAGTTAATAAGTCATAGTATACCTGTGGAGATTTGGGATCAAACAGATAACAAATTTCTTTAGGCAGTAGAAGTATTCTCTTAATTTCTTTCTCTTCTTCTGAAAAGTCTCTTGGTACATCTGAAGACAAAACAGAACAAAACTTACAAAATTGCTGGTTTCTATTTTTGTGATTATAAAAGGACTAGCTGACCCGCTCAACACCGTTTGCGTCTCTCGAAAGGAATAAATTTTCCCTGTTTTCCCTTGAAAACTTGTAACAAACCCTTTTTTTTTTATTAATCTAATCAAAGTGAACATCGGCAATGTCACTACTGCCATTTAGAAACTTACAAAGTGTTGGTAGTGGGGAGTTTAGTTCTTCTTAGTGATGGATAAAAAGGGGGTTCTGTGTCCTGCCATTGCTTTCGAATATCAGAAACTTTTATTTATTTTATTCATATTGAACTGCCAAGTTTTCCATCTAATTTGTAAAATGCCCATTTCTGGGCAATTGACCTATATACTGTTAGTGAGATTAAAAAGACAGCGTGAGGGGTCTACGGACCCTTTGTCGGGACGAAGTTGTGCCGCAAAAAATGTCAGCAAAAAGTCTTTTAACATATTTTTTGGTCTTGCTCCATTTGGCTCATAGCGTGTAACGCGCGATAAAGAACTTCGTTTCAATAATAGTCTGCTTACCCCTTTGAGGATATAGCCGTGAATCTAAGCCATATTAATAGATATTCTTTAAGAGAGGTATAAAATATAAAAATAATATTCTACCAGATTCACACAACGACATCTAGTCCCAAACTAAGCAGAGCTTGTATACTATGGGCACTAGACAACTATGTAATATAAATACATATATACTTTTCTTTAGTAAATACATACATATTATATAACACCCAGAAAAAATCAAACATTAATGTTCACGCGCACATATATGCTTGACTTGAGCGGGAATCGAACCTGCGACCTTTGTCATGGCATTGGCACAATCAGGAAGAAACTCGCTACTTAAATATTACTATTATTTACCAGTGGTGAAGTCGATATGAATCATTTTTGACTTGGTCTGTTTTCCTGTGTTATCAATCAAATAGTTCTTGAATGGTAAGCAAGCTGGTAACATGTACGCTGGAAATAAAAAACTAGGAACTTAACATTGACATAGAAAGAAGATCATATAATAGGTCTTTACCTATGATATTGCCGTTTTGTATGCAATAAGTGAAAGTACTTATTTTTTCAAACTTTTTTATTTCTGTTATTCGAAGTAATCACCCATGCAATCGACGCATCTTTGCCAACGCATTGGCAGTTTATTGATGCCCTTCTTGTAAAAATCAGCTGGACGGGAGGCAACAAACTCTTCAAAGGCATTTTGTACTGCCTCTCGGGAATTGAATTTAGTAATTATATTCACGTTACCATAAAACTGCAAAACTTTACTTTACTCGTATTTAATAGCAGCTTCGTTCCAATAAAAATAATAATAATATACAACCATGTCAAATCAATAAATAAGTATAATACTTGCAGAAATATATGTTATTAAACTAACTTTCTTACATATATTATTATATATTACGTATTGAAATGAAATGATATTTATTTCTGAAAGTAAATCTTTTCAGATATTTTTACAAGTCGGACTTTACATCTAGAAGACGCTGGCATTACCTAAGCTCTGGGAATAAACGTGAAAACAAACCACAGATAGATAAAAATTAAATGTTCTTACACACAAATATTTGACTTGAACGGGAGTCACACCCGCGACCTTTGGAATAGCAGTCCGTTACACAAACCACTACGCCATTCGGTTATCAAATACTGATACCTGGAGACGGCGTGCGGATTTTGGTCGGTTTGAGTCCGACATAATCACCCCACTGGTGGGGTAATATATGTAGATCCTTATATACAGAGGTGTCGGTAACGGTAACAGTGTCGCGAGTTCAATGGTTTTTTCCCATCTCAAAAAATACATCATTTTGGTCTGTAGTTCAAAAATTCCCAACGCGCCTAAAGAAGTTTTCACTTCAAAAAACGGGGTTGGGGGGGATTTAGTTGCCGGTAAATTCACTACCTGGGTGAAAAGTAACGAAAGAACTGCTTAATACCGGTTTTCTGTTTTGCCGTGGCACTGGCCCATTTGCGTCGAGCATACGCCGAGCTTGCCCACGTGTAAACGTCGTTCGTTAAATAAACTTACCGGATTTTATTGGTTTAATCAGTTTGAGCAGTGCCACGCTATTTTTCGCCTTAAAGTGCTTGTACTCAGGATGAATCAATACATCTGCTATTGGCATTACCAAAATAGCGGAGTCGCATTCCTGTCCGTCTATAGCTTGCTGAGGGGTGATACCGCACTCGATCTCGTCTCGTTCATAATCGCCAAAAGCTACGTTTCCTCTGTAAATATTTTATTTTGTTAAACGGGACTGTTGGTCCAATGGTTAGTGACCCTGACTGCTAAACCGGAAGTCGTGGATTCCTACCCAGGACAAATATTATGTGATTTGTACATTATCATGTTGAGACATTGGTTCTGTGTAATTAACCTAACATATGTTTCTTTGTCAGATTGCCGTGTGTGAGATGGGTGAAGATAATACTATTATTTTATAGAAGAGAGTGCAAACAAGCAGACGAGTCACCTGATGGAAAGTGACTACCGCCGGTCATTTGGTTTCTGTCTTTTAAAAACAAAAGCCTTTGTTCAGCAGTGGACTTCGAAAGGCTGGGAATGAGATTTATTTTGTATAGCAATAATGTGAGTACTCACAGTGCGTAGTTAATGGGTATTTCTGCTGCGTCTACAGCAGTGCACAGACAGAACTGTCGACTGATGAGAACCGCTCGTGGTACCCTGAAGTAATGCGGGGCGCCTGTTTTAACTGAAACGAAAAACGTTTTTAAGAACTTCTATTTTTTGTATAGACTTAAATGACGTTCTTTTTTAGTTAAGCAAATAATATTTTAGCTTAAAATAATAAAGGAATTTCTTGTTAGATTGCCAAGTCAACTCATTTCCTTTTTATAAAACTTTAAAACATTCTGTAGAAGTTTGATTATAATATCGGACTATCAAGTTATACACCTTTTTTTTTCTGGGCGGAAGTCCCCTCGGATACCACATACCGGTGGCAATGTCAGACTCGACTAAAACCGCACGCCGTCTCAGGAACCAGTAGTCGGGGAACCAGATACGTCATACTCCCCTATTGATAAATTTTCATAGCTAAGCACACAGCATAGTGTGCAATATTTAAACATTTATTTTCCGGTTATCTGCTTTCTGAAAACTAATTTGTGTTGTGATATTACGGTTTTATATTATGACTACTTTCAGTGTATTTGTTTAATTAGAATTTAGCGTTGTCAATTGATTACACCTCTTGTTTAACGCACAAATTCAAAGTCCAGTAATTTCAATCTCTGATCTGAAAATATTCCATTTTCTTCTTCTAGTAAACACAGATGGACCGACTTGCTAAAAATGTTGAAAATCTAAATGTTGCTCTTACCATGTATGTACTGTAGGGCTCCCAGCCAAGAGAACTTGGGTTCATTAAGCGGTCCACTCTCGGGACTCTCCTCCGGATCATCGAGGCATTCATGAAACTGACATATTACCTTTGCACCTAGAAGTAACACATTATACAAAGATATTTTTTTTTATTGAAAACAACGTGGCTTTCTTTGAGCTAAATAGTTGTTTGAACTTTGACACATACATACACATACAGAGACAGAGAGAGAGAGAGACTCCCACACACACACACACACGCATACACACAACAAAGTAATTAAATGGGCAATTGGAATAAAAAGAACTGATGAGGTGAAGGAAACGAGATGTGAAAACACCGTACCGTATGTACCGCCGATATAATCAACACCTGGATCGATTGATGGCGATGGTGGGAAAGTAGAAGGGAATAGACCCAGAAGCGGAGTCTCAGAAGACGGTTAGACTAGATAGACTGAACAGCTAGAGATACCAATAAGTATCGCACTGGAGTGGTGGACCAAGCGACTGACCGCAACCGATGGAGAGAAATGGTTGACAGGATGAAAAGGAGTCACGATCCTCAGCAGTGAGGGGTACTAGGAGAGAGTATATTAGAGACATATTACTTACAAAAGCTTAAGATGGCTGTAATTGCTAAACTCTTCCTCATTTGCTCCTTCGTAAAGTTTATCAAACACAGTTAACGTTAAATATGGGCCTGCAACAAAAGATTGCCTCTATAAGAATCTTATATTATTGACTAGTTATTGCCTGCGGTCTCGTCTTATTATTTCGTTGGCTTTTATCGTGTGAGAGAGGTTACCGGAACCCAAACCAAAGAGTTATCTACCCTGTCACCTCAAAGGAAACAACGCACTTGTTGAAACACTTCAGTTGGAGATATAATGGACGGTGATAGTTTGATATCATCAGGTAACCCGTCCGCTTGTTTGCTCTCTTCATCATCTTCATCAACAGCCTTTAGTAGTCCACTGCTGGTCATAGGTCTCTCCATAGAAAGGAGGTTTTGGCCAACCATACCACGCTGGCCAGACGGTCTGGTATAGGGTTTACTTCAAGTTTTCCTTCTCTTTGCAGTGCTAATGTCCTGCGTAGTTTGCTTCCTTAGTCGGCTCTTACGACACCCACGGGATGAATACTGGTGGTGACGCTCCGTATTCTTAACCCGTCACCACACGGATACTTTCTTATATAATAAACCAATATTTATTTAATAATGACGATAATGAAGGTGAGAGAACACAAAACAAAGTGAAATTCTAAGCTCATAACATAAAGTACCTCTATGAGTTTCTTTTCCTGGAAAATTATATAAATTGTTAGAAAACACTTAAGTAAGTATAACTTCTGTAAAAAAAAACACGTTGTTTTGTGACTGTACTTTTCGAAACAGGCTGTAAAATGAACTTAAACTGTTTAAGAATCTTTTGTTTGCCTTTCAGATGTTGACACAGACTCGAATTGTGAGTGAATCTAAACGAGATTACGATTGAACATTGCTGCGTATCCACAAAATTGTTTATAAATAAACTTGTTTACGAATGTTCAGGTCAAATTGTCTTACATAATGTTTTTATGCTTCTTTGGTCATTTGGCAGTGACTGTTTATGTGAGTCATCCGTCGCTTTGGATACGAGTAAGTCTGGCTTAAGTCGCGGGTCGAAACGAAACTATAAACTACTAGCGTATGTGAGGTCCGGCAGGTGTTGTATGGTTTTGTTATCCTTTTAGCTGTCATCGGTATTCGCTATATTGACAAATGATTGTGCCGTGGTTGCGTATAGAGATTCTAGTGCATTTCCTATTGTAGCACAACAATTCTGTTGCAGCACTTATTGCACGAGAAAAGAGGCGATAAGATGCTTTTTAATTCAGCTAACCTATTCGGGCTTCTGCATGTGTGTTCAATCACAACTTTATGCCTTTATCCGATGCTAGTTCCTCAAGAAGACCAATAGGCTCATATATAGAATACAAGGCAGAACGATTTGTGGGCGCAGACAACGTTGTCTTAGACAATGCCGGAGCAACCGGGCATACAGAAAAAATGGGCCCTCTTTTGTACGGTAAACAAAGTGAATGACAAAAATATTTTTCCGCTATGATCTTTATTTATGACTAGCTTTTACCCAAGGCTCCGCCCGCGCTAAAGTCGGTTATCGCGGTGAAAAATAGCATTTATGTTTCGACAAGAATCAAAGTGTTTCCATACCAAATTTCACCTAAATCGGTTCAGCGGTTTAAGCGTGAAGAGGTAACACACAGACAGACAGACACACTTTCGCATTTATAGAATTAGCATGGATAAATTAATAGTACAAATCAAAGGTATTAGTTAAATAAGTATGCTCGTGCTTTTATTTCGGGATTTCTGTTGTTCAAAATCTTCAATTGATAATATAATCTAACGATTACGATTAATAGAGAAAGAAAACTCTGAATTGATTGTTCAGATTGTTAATTTCTTGAAATACTGCGGAACATATTTTTTAAATGTGCATATAATAACATATCGATTATCGTATTTACACGGTTTTTTGCAATTCAACTGTACAGTATCTGATGATCCTTCAAAAAAGTGACGCGTGTGCTGCGAATTCTTTGCATTTCAAACTTATCTACGAACATATACGACCATTTGGTTTTTTAGCAGCTAATTCGTACGACGTACAACATTCATTCGTACAACATTATTGCGTGTGTTATTAACATAATCGATCAGAGATGCATAAAGTTTTGTCAGCTAGGCTATTTCCTATTTGGCTAGCTTGTTTCCTATTTCTCTTGGTTCAATTTCCGATTTGGAATTTGCACCCTGTAAATTGAATTGTTTATTGATTTTAAAACCTCAAAAGTATTGTAATGAAATAGTAAACTATATTTTATGGTATTTTTCTATTTGTATAAATGTTGTTATAATTAATTTAAATAATTCGATGTTTTTAATATTCAAATTTATTTTTTGTTTTACCAAATTAATTTCTAGTTTTTCCACATTTCTCAGATGTTCCTTGATAGGAAACCACATGTGGCTAATTAAAAAAAGTTTAACAAAAAACTCACGCAAATTACTTACTAGATGCCTTTTCGGTATCTTTTTTAATTTTTCTATTTAACGTAAAAACATACACATACAAAAGTGATTAGTTTACCTACATAGCAACAAAAAAACCACGGAGGTTTAGTCCCGTGCGATAATGAGTCTGTCTACTGTTCGTTGTTTATATTATACTTGCACAATAAACAAACAAAACAAAACGTCAAAAATGTTATTATATCGCTGCCATAAACACATCTACATAGGGTTAATCTATCTAAATTAACCTACTACGTTAATCTACCATTCTACTATCGTTATCTACTACTACGTTATTCTACTATTTACAATTTGACCAACAACTTTGAAGTATATATGAATACATAGAGTTATCGAAAATGACTTACAGTCTGTAAGTAAGGCCAAAAAGAGGTTTTGGTTGCGGCGAAACGCGGCGATATCTGTACTCTGCGGTGTGACCCGTGGTTTATCAATTCCTTGCTCATGCCACAGTAACACTACATTGTTTTGAGATAAAAAGTGTTTGTGTTAATTAATTAATCCAGGCTGTCATACCTCCATACCAATTGGTTTGAGCGTGAAGAAGCAAACATACACACACACAAACTTTCGCCTTTATAATATCATTAAAAGTGAACTAAAACTAAACTGATCATTCAATTCAAATTATTCTTGATTATTTATTCGTGAAATCATAACAAACAAAGAAACTCACTTCCACATTTTTATAAATGAGCTTTTTGTATATTTTACAGCACCTAGTAAAGAAATTGTGTAAAGCGACATCTAGTGACCCATAGAAATATTATAATAAATAATGTGTTATCTAGTTGAACAGTTAGAATTTTGTTCAATAGATGTCACTAAAAGGCTTTATTTTAAGAGAGCTTTTGTTAAATATAATTAGCAAAAGCTCTCTTTTATTAATATCTCTGACTCAATTATAAGTACATTACCTCATATTTTTTTTGCCAAAACGTATAAAGAAAAGAAAAAAGGTGGCAAACTACAGTTGACTCCAAACTGCCCTGTAACTTTACGAAAGTTATGGTTTATAGGAGCGAACTGTATTTATCACTTTTTGGTGTTGAAATGTCGTACTCACAGTTGATTTTTTGTAATAAGGTTACAATTTTTTTAAATATCTATCAAGGCCCCTCAAGAAATTCACTGTTCGGTATATTACGAGCTATTATTGAAGTATTTTTGGATGATAAGTGACATTTTGATTTTAATAGTTATGTTATACAAATTTATTGACAGTGTATTTGATATTTTCTTAATTAGCGACATTGGAAATGTTTACTGGCCTGTTGTTTTGGCTGTTAGGAACACTCACTACTAAGCAAGAGGTCGTGGGTTCGATTCAACACCAGACTTTCGAAAGTATTAAATGTCTTATATAATTGACCAGTACAACTTGACCTGTCATTGCATAGACTTTTGTACCATCACGAGTTAAAATATAAATTGTATCCATATAGCCATTTTTACATAATTTTTTACGTAATAGCTTTTTATTCAATTTTAGTTTTTTGCACTTCTACATATAAACATTAAGCATTCCAAATCTAATGTACTTCATATTTATTTACTTGCATATTTGTTTGAAAAGTGACACAAACCATTTTCTTCATCAACAGCCTTTAATAGTCCACTGCTGGACACAGAAGGGAAAGAAGAAAGGAGGTTTTGCCAACCATACCTCGCTGGCCATACGGGTTGGTATAGGGTTTGTTTCAAGTTTTCATTCTCTTTGCCGTTATGTAATTATAAGTCGCGAGTAATTTTATAAGCCTCTTATCAACACTAACAATAATCTGAAAGTGCCTGGCAGCGGATGGATACGGACTGAACAAGACTGGAATAGTTGGCGCTCCTTAGAGAGGCCTACATTTACCAGTGGACGCTGATGATGATGGCTAGCGGTAGCCACTTACCAGAGAACCTGTTTGCACGTTTAGCTTATTTCGTAGTGGCTGTTGTCCTGCGTAGTTTGCTCCCTTAGTCGGCTTTTACGACACCCACGGGATGAATAGGTGTGGTGACACTCTGTATTCTTAATAATTTTCTTCTCATAGGTATTAATATATAGATTTATTATCAAACTCATTAGTTATCATGTACGAGTATGACGCCTTGGTTCAAGATGCAAAGGAGATATGAAATTTAAAATTAAAGCGTGTTACACACTCCGACTGTACATTGACATCGAGTTTTGAACGATATTTATTTTTTTAGGTCTATGCTTCATTATAACTATTTTATAAAAAGTGTCTCCAAAATCGCAAAGTAGTTTATCGCCAACTATCCAGCGGCTCATTTAACTCAGCTCTTTTAAATCACAAGAAAAACGTAGAAACGTAAAAACGATGGCGTAGTCATTTAAGCTAAGCCGCTTTCTACTGCGCTGAGTGATTTGGGAGTGGTCTTTAAAAAAAACTGGCGACAATACATATAATACGTGCTTTCCTTATTATTTATACATTTCTAAGTCTTGTAAAAGTAAACCAGCCATGCTTATATAAGTAAAAAAGCATTCTTTAGTATAGTAGGTGCAAGGAGTGTGTAGTACGCCTAATAATTTAATT